TCACAGCAGTTCCCACCCGGAAGGAATCGGTTGCAAGGCAGGCCATGCGCGCAACATGATTCACCATTGCACACTCCAGCATCGGGAGCGGCGACAGCACCGATGACGGCAGTGATGAATGGAGCAACGGCGAGGATAAGCAAAGTGAAACGCATGGAGGAATGAAGTATGAGTCACAGGGTACGTTGAATGAACTGTATCGCTGAGCTGACAGGAGGGGGACTGGCTAGGATGAGTCTTGCTGCAGTCCTACCAGTCCTTCCCTCGACCAATTTATAGCATTGGTCCCTTCCGTTTGTGGATGAGGACTAACCGCAATCTGCCATTGCAAGCAGGCGCAATCCACGTTCAAATTCAGTGTAGTCCACATCAACAGACCAGAAGTGATCGAAATTTTGGAATATTGTCCAAACAATACCTTTACTCAGTGGTTATTAGGCCACTTGAGTACTCGTGTGCTTCCAGCCAACTTCGGGTGCCCAACAACAGTTACGGCTGCTCTCGAATACTGTTTACTGGTAAGGACTGCCCGTGGTCTGTCATATATAGTAGGCAGTGGCAGAGCATTCCAGTGACGCGAGCGAAGGATGGTGTGCGTCTACTAATACAAACCAGGGATGGCACACGCTGAATTGCTCAGCAAGATTCGCTAAACAAAAGCAACGCTTATTTGAGCTTTAGTCAGCTCTGGTGAAGTTCCCATCTATCGATATGAACCTTGCTGTAAGCATACACTAGAAGGTGATCGGTTCAAATTGAGTGTAGTATCACTTGTTATCACGGGGAACAATCGGGGTTTTGTGTTGTCCTACCTGTGGTCAGACTATTGGGTCGGGGTCTCGTGGTGGAGACGGGACACGATCGCGTTTGGAGCATGAATAGGCATGGCGGCTCCGGATGCGTACAGGGGTTAACGGCGACCAAGGTCGCAGAAATAGATTCAACACCAGAAATCCAAAGCCGACAATTCAAGCAATGCAAAAGCTCAAAGCTCGAGGGTCCTAGAATATACAGGCAAGACCTGACACACCAGACAGTTGATAATGATCGGAGAAGAAACAACAGTGCCTGGATGTAATGGGGTACTACTAGACCTTACTAGGTGTTAAATGGCCGTCACTCCCCTTCCTAGTCAGGATCATACTAAGTGAAGCAAGCTTCTGCTCGGCCTAGCATGATCAGCTGGGCTTCGTTTGATTTCCTATCGAGGAAAGTAAACGCTGAAAATTAGCGCCATCATCAGTGTCATTGGCATATCTTTTCAGTATTGACTGGTACTGTTTTCCATTCACTTTAGGTACCGATTTTCACCACCAATGGCGCTGATTTCTAGTCACAACCAGCTCTCCGGATCATCACGTGAATGATAATAGGAACAGTGTGGATACACATAGTGGCCAGAGCCCGGACTGGTAGGGGGTGACTGCGAGTGTATGGAGTATGCAATCAGTGACAAAATACGTGGCACCGGAAATCATTGCTGTTAAACTCAAGAGTGGTGAATATCAGTGTGCTTACTTCCTACAGTGTCCTTGGCCCAATTGCTCTGCACAAGTCTTGGAATTCCACACTCGTACATATTTTAGCAGATAATAAAATAGCTCTGCAGCACACAACATGAAAGTACATTGCTATAATTGAGGGTCAAAACAATAATTGCGTACAAGAAAATGCCCAAGATGATGATTGCAAACTGCTGCAGGAAGTGAAGGAATGGGATAGTGATGGAAGGGATGATCAGAAGCCATTCCCCCTCCTTGCACATCATGAGGCGTTCTTCTGGCAGGTAGCATGTAAATTCCCCAAGTCGTGGTCCGGATATCAGTACTTCATTGTTCAGTATTAGTTAAAATGTTCTCATTGACCTGCTTACATGTGAGAGTGGGGAGCTTGGTAGCCGTCGACGAACGCAGGAACTGTTCGACATAGGGAGCGCCTCTCGTGAAGCCCATAAATACAAGCACTACCAGAAGCAGGCATAGTTGTGCAATTCCGAGCCAAGGACAACCTATAGCCGGAATCCTACTTCACCAGCAAAGTATATTTTTGGCTTGCTAGAGCAACTCACTGTTCGATCTCCAATCGCAGTCTTTGTCTTTCCCACTCCTGCACCGAGCGCAGATACATCTAGGATGGCATCCGTCTGATGCACGAAAATAGCAATGAGCTGTTACAATACTCGGGAACCACACCCGATGGAAAGAAGAAGAAGCGATGACGCACGTGTGTACGGTGCAGGGCTTCGCTAGTCCCGAAGAGGGCCTGATCATTCTAAGAGTTGGAGCATGTCTCTGCAAGTCTAGAATGTTTCCGCACGTTCACCGATGGATCTGTACTTACGCCTTGAAGAAACACGATGCACATTGTGTAAGGACCTCTTCAACGTCGAGAATAGAAGGAGCTTGTTACTTGCTGCCTGGATCAGTGGCCCTTTGTTATCATCCAAGTCCCATGATGGCAGGCGAACACGCATCGAAATCGAGGTGTGTAAGTATCCACCAATCGTAGAGGTCGCTTGTATGATAAGCCGATAAGTGAGGTGTTGCAACGAACCAATTTGCTCAGCGACACGCACATTCTACAACTCTGGTGGGCACCGTACGAAGTGGCAGTCTTGTTAGTTCCCGGAACCTGCTCGTCTTCGCTCCCGAGGTCTGAGAAGAGAGCCTGGTGAGTTTAAGCATCCCAGCGTTGGGGTTGATAATACACTGCTGCAGCTCAGGGATGAAAGTCGTGGGACACTGGCGTCTGCTGTGCTCTCCGGTGCGTTGGATCTCCATTCTCCAAACACTTCGTTCAAATTGGGCTATACCGCTGCGCAAGTTGGCTTTTAGTATCAAACCCGAACGCTGCGTGCTGTTGCACTTGATAACTACAAAACGAAGCTTATTGTATTGACTATATCGGATACAACTTTGTTTTCAAGTTCAGCGAGTTGACTCCCACATCCTGCTTTCAAGTTCTAGATTACAGGCGAAGATTACATATGGTAAACGTTCAGACAATCCGCCCGCCAGCGGGGTATGCAGACACTAACTCTCGGGAGAAACAAGGAAGTTGAAGGCCGGAATCCCATTCGACTGAGAAGTTTCCGCCCAGCCGTGCAATGCAATAGCGCTGGGAAGATACCCGGCGGGTTTTTTTCTGGCGGGCACACTCATCTAACGACAGGTTCGGAGACACAAATAGCGTTCCCTTCGTCAACATTCCACAAATAATCTCCGTTTATTGGCCTGAATTCTCGTCATCTCTCGAAGGAGATTGTGTCTTCGTCTACAAGTTCCCTGCACAAACATTTGTACGGGCACCATTGGACTCGAACGCCAGTGTGACATAGTAAGCAAGTAATTGCTGTTGACCCTCGCTCGGTTCCACAATGAAGTAGTGCGTGAGAGCCTCCGCGCAATGAATCGAGTTCAGGGGGAAGCTGTAGGCTAATGACTATAACCACATATCTGAAGTTGTATCTGATACTGCTGTCTATGACAGCGCTCAGTTGCGCTGCACTTCGCATCACTCATTTATGGGTTAGTTTAATTACGTATTTATGAAACCTTGGTTTCCGTGTGCTGCACTGTTAATCTCATTTCAACATACGAGGGGATTGGGAACCTGCACCAACAATGCGTGAGTAAGGGTGTAAGTTGATGAGAGAAAGGAATCTTTTGGGACGTACGCCTCCTATCATGCCATATTCGTGGCCAGGTTCAACGACAACTTGCTGCGAAGCACCGCAACTCCTGCATGACCCATCCACATATCTGGTGATCACCAGTTTTGGACGGGTACACGATCGTCTGCAGAATATCGAATAGTGACACCTTGCCCGGTTTCATTGAACAGCGAGGTTCAGAGTCGGACTTGTCGCAGCAGCTCAACTCCGCGGATACTAAGGGATCTTATGAAACACGTTATGTACACACCGTTCCTCCCACACATTCGTGAGGACAGAGCTAGACCCAATCCCCGGTATCCTTATCCCGAAGTTCCGGGCACACCGCCACTTACCGTTGCATGGAAAGTAACGACGCACGCTGTCTCAGACTCCCGGAGACATGTACCTCTCGTACTTTAATGCCCTGCAAAAACCGGAGCGATTCTTTAGCAGTTATCCCTTCAAAGTTGAAGGGAATGAAGATAGCCGCATTAAGGACGATGAGAGCGGTGGTGTGAGTAGTGGTGCGCGCTGCAGGGTCAACTGCACATGAATTTTCTGAATTAGCATAGCCTACCTCGGCGTGTCCCACTATACCCGGCTATTAAGATACCGGAAACCGATAAGCGTAGACATGCAAATCAGAAAAATCTGGGCGCTCACTACTTGCTATGCAATAATATATGATATGATGACTGGTACCTGGAAGTAAATCCGGTGAAATCACCAAGCGACGACCGTGGTTGAACACGAATCATTGGAACTGTGGGGTTGGTTGACGGTAATCATACTGCTGCCAGATCTCGAGATGATGTTTCAGTGGGACTTGGCAATTGAAGCCTTCGCTTCCCTGGATGTGCCCTCATGAGCAGGCTCACGTACGGGTGGAAATTAGAAAAATCTGATTGACACATTTGTTCTGTGGAGCGACGATTTCCATTCGCGTTATTCCCTACAAATAAAACCTGCTTACCTTGTTCCCCCACACCGTATGTGTGGTCAAGGGAAATACCACGTTTTTCCCCACGAATGCGATATTGGTAGGCATCAAATGGGACACACAGTCCAATTACCAGTCCTTTGGCATATTGCAGCTCTAGGATGGCTCAACGCTCGGGTCGTATTGTCCGCAATTTACGTGAGCCATTATGGACACCCATGCGGAGCTGCTCAGTAAGCCCCTGCTTAAGTGCACGACCTACGGTGAGAGCTCACCATCCGTCATGTAAATGCGGAACGTGATGTCACTGACGACTGTTTACCGACAGAAAGCGATTCCCGCCCGTCCGTCGAACCGGCCTAGGTAATTTTTGGTATCGTGAACGACACAATGGCCAACTCACCTCCGAACAAGCTACCGAGAAAAGCAACTACCTGAGAGGTATAAAAGGGTTTACGAGGCAGCGTCAGAAACCAGCAAAGTATACCTTGAACGGCTCTACCATGCGTCTTGCTCTGCTTTCTTTCATTGTTGCACCTCTCCTCACTGTTGTCGCCGGTGCTGCAGCCAACATAGGAACTTACGGTCTCAGCAACCTCGCGAAGAGACAGGACGGTGTATGCAAAGCGGCGGGGGAACATTGTTGCATTGATGTAAAGTGTGAACCATGCTGTGAAGGTACATGCGTACCTAAAGATAGCAGTAGTAGCGGATCGGACGCCATTGTCGGGAAGTGCCCTGTAAGTGCTTCAGTCGCACAATGTGTATTCCATTAAGCTTACAGTGTGCCGCTTAAATGATAGTCCCAGAGCTCTTGATGAATAGGTCAAGGGGAGACACCGACGTTATGTGTGGAGGGTTGGAACGAGCTTGGCAAACCCACTCAGAGTAGTTGGTTGGGATGTAACACCAGTTTGTTGACCATCAGGAACGAAACTTGATATCGCTGCATTTAGTGAGCTCTTGATAAACTAAGATATACGACGTTCCCCAACGAACCTGCTGCAGCGGTTATTTCATTACAAAATTCCACCGCAGCTCTGTTCACGAGCCCATTTATCCGTTGAGGGTGCGGAAAGGAGTTAGAGTACTAGTCCAAGCTCGCGAGGTGCAAGCAAACATAACATAGTAGAATAAACTGCTTTGGGAAACTCATCTCATTGGGGTGCTGGCATACCTCTGCATCATGCACGACCAACAAGCAAGCGAGTCCACAGTACTTCGGAGTCCGCCACTGGGCCCGACAAGCGAGAATCGTTCCACACACGACGGACTCAATGTGACCTCTTTTGAAAGGTAAGACTCTGCAAGACACTTTTGATACACATAGTGGCAGACTTTCTTCTAGCTCGATGGCGTAACATCATAAACCCGTCATTCTCATTCGTACATCGTGTGTAGATAGGACCTGAACATGACCCGACTCATCCGTCAACCACTGCACCTGACTAACTGGCACACGGAACAGTAGTTTGCCAAGTTGCAAAGCGATTACTACACCATCACGAGGCCCAGGTCAGTACTGCAGAATATGAGGGCCGCATTAACTAGAAACTAACCTCGCAGAATCCAACTCTGTCTTGGTTAGGTGGGTATGCTGTACAAGTCAACCCAGGACAGCAGACCAGAGTCGATTCGAAAATGGTACAGGATAGGCCTGGCGCGCCACAGCCCCTCCTTTCCAGACCATCAAGCCCAGCATTGTTGGAACTGATAGCGGCGCCGACGACGGCAGTGATGAACGGAGCGACGAAGAGGGTAAGCAAAGTGAAACGCATGGTTGACTGAAATACGAGTTACGGAGTACTCTGGACGAGCTGTGCCACTGAACCAGGGAGGTAGAGCAACTGAAATAAGTCCCTCTTCCTTCGACCGATTTATACCTTTAGTCTCTTCGGTTGGCGGGTGGTGTTCGGCATCGTACGTTCATATTACCACAATCTGTCATTGCATGATTGCAAGCAGGCATGCAAACCGAAGAACAGTCCCACTAGTCGCACCACTCGTACCTGTTTCATACCCGCATTATCATCTTTCGACCAGGGCAGGGTATATCAACACTGCGATAACGGCCAGGTAACACCGTGCTCTGAACTTGCTTGTGATTTTTTGGGTATTTTGTAGTACTTAAGCCATGATTCCCTCTATCTACTTTCTTACTGCATCACACAAATCGCCGTGCATGACGCGGACATGTATGTGTGCACTTTGAAAGGGAGATTACCACAGCAGGAACTGGACTGCCATGTTCCTTGGTCTGCCATTTGGTGGATGGCAATCTCTGCCGCCGATCAATCACCGCGCCGAGGGCGCGTGTCTTCGAAGCCGAATAGTAGCGCCATGTAGATCTCCTCATGTACTTATGCAGAGCTCTATTTTTTGCCTACATAATAAATACCGACATATTGCAATTTTAGGGCCTCGTCTCAAGAGGATCATGTCCTCCTTCAATCAATAACTTAATATTTAATCACAAAGCATCGAGGTATGTGAAAAATCCCCCCTTCCCGACAACACTTCGTACGGTGCCCACCAGAGCTGTGGAATGTGCGTGTCGCTGAGCAAATTGGTTCGTTGCGACACCCCGCTTATCGGCCTATCATTCAAGCGACCTCTGCGATTGGTGGATACTTACACACCTCGATTTCGACGCGTGTGTTCGCTTGCCATCATGCGACATGGATGGTAATAAAGGGCCACTGATCCAGGCACGATCCGATGGCAAGTAATAAGCTTCCTCTATTCTCGACGTTAAAGAGGTTCTTACACAATGTGCCATCGTGTTTCTTCAGGGCGTAAGTACAGATTCTTCGTTGAATATCATTGAGGCCGAGAATAAACGGTGAACGTGCGGAAACATTCTAGACTTGCAGAGACATGCTCCAACCCTTAGAGTGATCAGGCCCTCTTCGGGACTAGCGAAGCCCCGCATCGTACACACGTGCGTCATCGCTTCTTCTTCTTCCATCGGGTGTGGTTCCCGAGTATTGTAACAGCTCATTGCCATTTTCGTGCATCAGATGGATGCCATCCTAGATGTATACTGCGCTCGGTGCAGGAGTAGGGAAAGACAAAGACTGCGATTGGAGATCGAACAGTGAGCTGCTCTAGCAAGCCAAAAATATACTTTGCTGGTGAAGTAGGGTGCCGTTTCACCCAACGTAGCGTTCTAGTGTCGATTCCGGCTATAGGTTGTCCTTGGCTCGGAATTGCACAATTATGTCTGCTTCTGGTAGTGCGCTTGTATTTATGGGCTTCACGAGTGGCGCTCCCTATGTCGAACAGTTTCCAGAGTTTAATCACTCTGCCCGCTGGCGGGATACGTGGGCATTAAGTCTGGAGAGCAACATGAAAGGAGGCTAGAATCAGTTGAGAAGGCTCAGTCTTGCCGTGCGTCGCACTAGTGCCGAGAAAAGGTCTATTCTCTTTTAGCGGGCACCTGTGGGCTTTCTGACGACAAGTTCAGAGATACGGATGGTGTCCCCTTTATCAACATCCAAAGACGATTTTAGCTTAATAGTTTCAGTCCCCGTGATGTCCCAAGGGAATCCGTACCTTTTTCGTCTATGAATTCTTCCGCGGCCTCCTCACCCTACCCCGAAGAGGCCAGGACGTGCCGCACACCTTTACGAAGGTACGAAAAAAAAAGGGCACACACTTCGTTTATTTTATTATATTTTATTATGGAAAATGGGCTTACAATCTACCGAACACCGTAATTGCGAACCGAATAGACCACGCTGACGGGTTAGGAAGTTATAATTGGTAGGAGCATCAGGCCTATGGAAACGAGTACTCTCCCACTTGAAATTATTACTCGTTCAACTTGCTCTCTCTAGTTTCGGGCATCGTTACTTCGCTTTTGCTCTTTGCCGCCCCGTTCATCAGTGCGGCTGTCAGGGCTTCTATTAGCCCCCAACGACTTGGGACTGGATGCTCCTGCAAGGAGGATATGGCTCACTGAAAGGACCTTGCACCCCCAGAGAATCGTGCTGGCCTGTCCTGTAGTGGTTTGATTTGCTCACCAATATCGATAGCATCAGACTAGTTTGCGGTAGTTATCTGGATTTAACGGATGCTGAGTAGTGAACATGACATGCTTCTGTTGGATTCCTGTGACGAGTCTTGGTGGTATATGAGTAGTCGTGTGTAACGTGTCCACTCGAACTTGGTTTCCGCGGTGTATAGTCATAATGTGAGCCACAAAGAAATAAAGAAAAACTGGTTTCAGATGGAAAACTTTGAAGGAATGTTAAAACCTGAAGAAACTATTATTAACGAGAAGCCAACTCGTACTGGATACGGTTTTCTGGTTTTCTAAAGGGCTGCCCGGCGCATTCTGTTGTAGATTTCAGTCGGGCTTCGGACATACATATCCTTGGACATCTCTTGGTTGATATCGTCGGGACACAGGTAGCAGTGGATTCGAAAGTGAAGGTAAGGATCGTTGATGTTTATGTAAGTTGCAGCTCGATCATGTCTGATAGTTCAGCATGTGACAGTGATCTGCAACAGAGGGTCATAGCACATACGTACCCAAAACATATTCCACTCCCTACAGAAGGGTCAAGGATTGCTACAGAGATAGATCATGGAAGCAGAGGCAGGTGGTATTTCTGGTGAATGTCTGGACAACTGCAAGGTGGAAGGGAAGATCGCAAACCGGTATCTTTTGTCAAACGAGTATGTCGGGCCTTGCAGGAAGGTGTTGGCATGTATATAAGGAGAGGTGAATACTGGTCTGGATGCCAGCCCTTCTATGAAGCGTTGGAAGCTGTTCTTTCCTGGTTGAAGCTGGGGAGCAACGTGAGTTTGGCTTTGATCACGTGACTTACGCTCCGTCACCGCTCGAACCCAAACATACCTCACAGAACCGTCGCGTGCTGGGGTTCGCGAAATTCATCCACTGCGGGCGACGCCCCATTTGGATCACTGCGCAGCTCAAAGTAATCTATACGATGTGGAGCATTTCAAGAACCGGATGATTTTCCAAACAGCATTCCAAATGCCTCTGCGGTGCGATGCGCGGCCAATGTATCCGCTTGCAACCCTAGACGTCGGCTGGGCAGTACTAGGCAGTTGCCAATGTAGGCATTGGCAGCTTCTTCTCCATTCTGAAGAATGGATTCATGCACCCCGGGACCTTTCTGAGACCCTGTCGTCCGCACGACGTCGGTAGGCAACGTCAAAAAGGATCAGAATGTTCACTAACTTCGTTGGGAGCTGACTCCTTGTCTGTGTTTAAATGGCAAGAAAAGTGCATAACTACTGAGTGGAACATAGTGGAAGTAGAACAGGAGTTGTGTAGGATCGAAAGAACTAGTCACTACGTATAGGGGGCCACTGACAAATTTGGGCATTTTGATTTTTAGGGTGATCAGTGATTCTGCCAGCCAATCACAGCATGCCAACAGTGGTTGGCCAGCAATTTTGGCTTCCGACGTTTGCAGGTCACCTTATACCACCGACGTACCAACTCACAAGGTGGTTGAATGGTTCATTGCGGCAGTCTGCCTACATTGTTGATGCAAACTAATGTCATCGTGGATCCCTTCAGTCAAGCCCATTACCATGCCAGGTGGAATAAACTAGCCGTATCTTGGATGCTGGTGAAGGAGCAATGCAAAGTTAACAAGTAAACCGAGGGCGATTTTTGCACTCACGAGCACGATGGAGCAGTAGGAGAATGAGTCGATCATTCTTCCACGTCACTGAGCCAGCAGTGCCATGGAGCCTGGAGACATTTACACTCAGTGCTTCTTTCAGAACGCGCAGACGTCAGACTTCATCTCGTCCATGGTGGAAGAGAGGTGCATCTGGTACTAGTTCGGAAACATTGTGACAATGAAAAGATGCTAACGTATTTGTTGACCGTTTTAAAGCTCGCGGCTTGTTAGCCTGTGGGGACTTCGCCATGAGACCAGCTGTAAGCACCCGGGAGTGGGTAAGGGTTCGGAGAGACCAGGGAGTCCCAGCATGGCAGGTGCGAACTGTCTCCCAGTCCCCATCACACGGACGCTCAGTGACATAAACACGGAGGAATTCTCCTAACTGTTCTGTTTCAGTGCCAAAGAACCCAGTCTGGGGTGGTCAGTCTTACCTTAAGCACAAACTAACTCACACATCTCACCATCCTAGCTGGGGGATCGTATCTCCGTTGTCAATGATCCACAGCGAAACCGCACTCTTATGTAGGCTCCCAGCAGCATCTCTGGGGTCTTAATATCGGAAGGTACACCCAGGCCAAGCCTGAAACGGGGATCATCCGACGTCCCATCTTGTCCGTTCATAGCTTCGCGGGTCTTGGTGTCACCATATGGCATCGCGTGTAAGTATGTGTAAGTATCATATACGGCGAAAATCTGTACGTAGCGCGTCAACAACAGCAAGCCCGAGTTAGGGATATGCTCGCAAGCGCGGCTGCGCGGACTTCGCTAGTTCTAATGGGAACATCATCGTCGAGCCGACCAACCGGATGACATGCCCGTTTCTGGCGTTCCGTTGGAAGGCTGATCTCTCCCATCATGGTGCTTGATGACCATAGAACTAGTCACGACAGGAGTCGACACGAATACATTGTCTATGAGACCCTTGATCCTCACCTCAGCCAATGTCATTCGACATCCAGAGGCCGGCGCCATAAACTGTGCACCTCTGTTCGCTACACCTGGATACGACAATGACATCCTGCTCTCCCTTCGTACAGTCTCGACTTCTGTATTGCAGCAGGAATCAGTTAATCTCTGCGGTGCAGCCTTTCTGTACCGAAAGGAGGACCCGCCAACCGGTCTGGTTGCAATCGTGTCAATCCAACTACCTTCGTTCCCGGGCGGCTGACCGATGACAGTTGGTTACTCGAACCGCATGACGAAGGCCAAGAGACGCTCTAAGACCAAATTGCTCTATGGTATCGAGCCGATACTAGTTTGCTCGACGTCGTATGCTACATTTTCTGGCGTCGTTGTGCGTAATTTCAAGTATGCAGTTGCGCGGATAGTGTAGTAATTACCTACAAGTTCGACGATCAAAATATTGACGATGGCGATGAGTCGGACCTAGCAACTGGGCTATGTGCTTCCACTACAACTCGCCCGATCTTTTGACCCGTTCCTCCTAAGGGGCCATCAACAACTAAGACCTGAGTCGCGGAAGTGTTTGGCCCTTGGGAATGGTTGTGAAAAAGAAACAGATATGGATAACTTCTTGGTAACGCACATTGCAATGCGACTATTATTCTTCAGCTGTAAGTACTATGGAATAGAAGAACGCCCGGCTGTGTCATCAAGCTTCAAGGACGTTAAATTGTATGCAGTTAAAGCATACTCACCGGAATATGACACCTGTCCAGCATTTTCCGCGCTGCCTCTTCTTCAGCGATGCTCCCGTCCTCGATTCCCTCTCCATCGGGCAGACCTTCACGCTCGAAATCTGCAAGTCCCTCTTCGCGTGGATGCTGATATGTGCGTATGAGCATGGCAAGATGAGACGTGCGTGCTTGGTGACAGGCGCAAGAGCTATTGTGAGGGGATTGCATGATACCGAGCGAAAATACGGAAGAGGTGCCGCATAAACACCTTTCGAAAAGAGAGGGATATGATATTGGGTGTCGTTCAATGAGTTTATTCGATCCTTGTATGTCGCTCAGATTCTCAACTGAGATGCTCCTTGTCGATGGTCACCAAGTAACAGCGAATAACGCTTGGGTGGGTTCTGTGGTATTAATAAAGATGGTGCGTAATAAGTAGCAACTGGAGGACGTGTGCCCTGGTAGGCAGCTGGTGGGGATCATGATGTGCGAGGGCCGTTGCCGAGATCACCTTTTTGCCTTTCCCATACACTACGTCTCGGTCATTTTTTATTTGAGGTCGTTGTGAAAAAGGAGAGGTGCTCATTGCCTAAGGTTCTCTGTCGCCCCGTCATGCCTTGCCCAGGTCAATAGCGATGGTGACGGTCTAGTCCGAGGGCGCTGATCAAGAAGCTACATACAGTTTGGACAACTGCGTTAGACATGTGGTCCAGGCGGAGCCGAAGGCACAGGAATAATGACCCGTGCTTTTCATGGACCTCAGCTTCCTGTGCTCTCTCACACCTCGACATCGACCAACTGTGGTAACTGGTAAGCTCCTTCCCGGCTCTTTGATCTGCGTGACTGGAGCAGCGTAGAGCTCAATTGTCTTTCCGCTCACTGCCAGCCAACTTGTGCCTTCTCCATCCATCGGTGGGGTTTCTTGGGTTCATCGTTCCGTTACAAGCATTGATCTCCGAGCAGTCCTATCTAGAACTTGAAACTTACCGACACTCAAGATTAGATTATCTGCTCAATACTGTGTTTACCAGTGAGTTCTTTCACCATCGTTACAGTAATCAGTTTTTCTGATTCGGGCAGCATTTTGACATTAACGGTTGCTTCCCCTTATATCTTCCTCGTGTCCAAGGAATCACGTATGACTACTGTTCCTTGCTTATTGCAACTGATTACTGATTCCTCTCCGAAGTCACAGCCATTTCCACCCCGTCATTGTGCCGGTGTAACAGCATCCGATGGATCCGACAGACGACGTTTCTGACAAGCGAGCAGAGCTGGAACGTTGTCCGCCAGGGCACAATGACCGGGATCATGCTCTCAACAAACTAGCAGAAGCCCTCTACGACAGATTTCGGGCAGAGGGGGAAAATGGACGACATGGAGGAGGCAATCGCTTTATACCGGGAAGCGTTGGAACTCTGTCCCTCTGGACATCCTGATCGCTCTTCTTCGTTCCGTTATCTGGCTCTCTGTCTTTTGGATAGGTGCGACAATCAGGGAGTAGTCGCGGACCTGGGGGAAGCTGTCATACGCGGACGTGCAACACTAGAGCTCCATCCAACAGGGGACTCTAATCAGGATGCATCTTTCCACAATCTCGCTCGTGACCTTAGGACGAGGTTTCGTGAACAAGCTGCGGTGCAGACTGGACTGGCAATTAAATTGAACCAGGCGGTATTGGAACTCCGTCCCTCTGGACATTCTCATCACTCTTCATCGCTGCGTAACCTCGCTCTCTGTCTTTCGGACAGATACAAGAATCGGGGGGCAGTTGCCGACTTGGAAGAAGCTATCACACTTGGGCGTGCAGCACTAGAGCTCTGTCCCCCAGGGCATCGTGATCGTGATACATCTCTCCACAATCTCGCTCGTGACCTTGGGACGAGGTTTCGGAAACGAGCTGCCATGCAGGACTTGGACGAGGCAATTAAGCTGAACCAGGCGGCATTAGAACTCCGTCCCTCTGGACATCCTCATCGCTCTTCATCGCTGTGTAACCTTGCTCTCTGCCTTTCGGATAGATACGAGATTCGGAGGATGGTCACTGATCTGAAAGAAGCTATCAAACTTGGGCGTGCAGCACTAGAGCTCTGTCCCCCAGGGCATCGTGATCGTGATACGTCTCTCCACAATCTCGCTCGTGACCTTAGGACGAGGTTTCGGAAACAAGCTGCCGTGCAGGACTTGGACGAGGCAATTCAGCTGAACCAGGCGGCATTGGAACTCCGTCCCTCCGGAAATCCCCACCGCCCTTCATCGCTGCGTAACCTTGCTCTCTGTCTTTCGGACAAATACGAGAATCAGGGGGTAATCACTGACCTGGAAGAAGCTATCACACTTGGACGTGCAGCACTAGAGCTCTGTCCCCCAGGTCACTCTGATCGTGACGTATCTCTCAAAAATCTCACTCGTAATCTCAGGGTGAGGTTCCAGAAAGAAGCTGGGATGCAAGACTTGGGTGAACTGATTGAACTGCACCGGGAAGCACTGGGACTCCGTCCCTCTGGACATCCTCATCGCTCTTCAACGCTGCGTAACCTTGCTCAATGTCTTTCAGATAGATACAAGAATCAGGGAGCAATTGACGACTTGACAGAGGCTATCACACTTGGGCGTGCAGCACTAGATCTCTGTCCTCCAGGGCACCGTGATCGTGATACATCTCTTCACAATCTCGCTCGTGACCTTGGGATGAGGTTTCGGAAACAAGCTGCCATTCAAGACTTGGGCGAGGCAATTAAGCTGAACCAGGCGGCATTGGAACTTCGTCCTTCTGGACATCCTCATCGCTCTTCATCGTTGCGTAACCTTGCTCTCTGTCTTTCGGACAAATACGAGAAGCAGGGGGTAATTACTGACCTGGAAGAAGCTATCAGACTCGGACGTGCAGCACTGGAGCTCCGTCCGCCAGTGCACTCTGATCGTGACGAATCTCTCATTAATCTCGCTCGTAATCTCAGGATGAGGTTCCAGAAAGAATCTGGGATGCAGGACTTGGATGAAGCGATTGAACTGCACCGGGAAGCACTGGGACTTCGTCCCACTGGACATCCGCATCGCTATTCATCGCTGCGTAACCTTACTCTCTGTCTTTCGCATAGATACAAGAATCGGGGGGCAGTCACCGACTTGGAAGAAGCTATCAAACTTGGGCGTGCAGCACTGGAGCTCCGTCCTCCAGGGCACTCTGATCGTAACGGTTCTCTTAACAATCTCACTTATTACCTCCAGAAGACCGTCGCGAAACAGGCTGTGGCGCATGGGTCGAGCAGAAGCTCGTTTCCTCGCCGAGCTGCGTCGGTACCCCGTCCGCCAAGCTATGACGATGGTGCCTCCTTATTCCACGTTCTCTCTCTACTCCATTGGGACAAGTTTCAGAAGCAGGCTGCAGTAGCCGACTTGGACGAGGCCATCTATCTTGCCACATATGCTTCGGAGCTCCGACTTCCGAAGGACCGTGATTATGCTGTCTCCGTGGAAAAGCTCAATCTATTCATTAGTGAGCGGGTGAAGAGGATGGTTCAGGGGACATATTCGGCCGAATCCGCCATGCTTGGCCGAACGGTTGACCACCTATGCGCCCTCGGGCATTACCTTAGGGACAGATTTCGAAACCAACACGCAATTCCCGACTTGAATGAAGCGATCATCTTGCACGAATTTTTGCTGCAACTTTGTCCGGCTGAGCACGTCAATCACCCCTCGTGCCTTCATGACCTTGCATTATGCTTAATAGATAGGTTTCATGCTACCGCCATTGTTGGTAATTTGGATGAGGCTATCAAACGTGAACAAAAGGCCCTGGAGCTATCTACTCCCTCGGACCCAAGTTGTGACATATACAGGGATCATCTTGCAACCTATCGTCATATGAAGATCCGCCTTGGGACGTCGACGGTATCTTCCATTCGGTCGGTCTCTAGCAAACAGTTTAGCGAAGCCATCCGGCGTGTCATTTTTAAAACCCTCGAAACCATGCCGCCTAGACTTCTAAACACGCAAACAGGCACCCTGTGCAGCCGGAATGAGCAAATATCTCATTTTACAAGTGGCCCGCAGTACAACCGGCTCAAACAGCTCTTGTCATCAGCCATGTCATATGACACTGTCGAACAAGACCACCGTATCCAGGCTAGTGTCTCGAAATACTTCCGGTTTGTCATGTTCTCTCACCGCTGGGGAGACGGTGAACCGTCACTACGCGACATCCAAGGTCACGCAATATACGACATGGCTTCGAGTGCCGGGGGTGTCAAAAAACTGCAGGAGTTCTGTGCTACTGCTTTGAAGCAAGATTACCTGTGGGCGTGGAGCGATACTTGCTGCATAGACAAAGATAGCAGTGTCGAGTTGCAAGAGGCAATAGGATCGATGTTCGAATGGTATCGACAATCTGCCCTAACGATCGTGTATCTTGCCGACGTTCCAGAGACTGGGTCATTGGCTACAAGCCAATGGTTCAAACGCGGATGGACCCTCCAAGAACTGTTGGCTCCTCGCACCCTTTTGTTCTACACTCAATCCTGGTCGCTATACAAAAATACTGAATCTTCGAATCATAAAAAAGATGCTGCCATACTAGGAGAGCTTGGGGGGGTCACTGGAATAGAATCTCGGTTCCTCACTGATTTTAGCCCTGGCATGGATGATGCACGCTCCAGACTTCAGTGGGCATCGTCACGCCGTACCACCCGTCCCGAAGACGTTGCCTACTCGCTTTTTGGGATTTTCAATCTCCATCTACCCGTCCTTTATGGCGAATCTTCAGAATTCGCCCTGGGTCGACTCCTAGGAGAAGTCATATCACAGTCTGGGGATGTCTCGATGTTGGACTGGATCGGGGAGGCATCAACGTTTCACAGCTGTTTCCCAATCCGGATCACATCGTACCAACCATTGCCATTGGCCCCTGTCCCACAAGCCGGCGCAGAAGAGCAGTCATTGACGGCGAGTCAACCGCCTGCGTCATCCAAAGCACTGCGAAAGCTGTACCGCTCGCTCATTAAGTCACCCCTGCCACGATTCGTGAACCGACGTCTTACATTGTCATGTTTCTCTTATCGTGTCACATCGGTCGAACTGCAGAGGGCAAATCCGTCCTCATCATCGAGCTACACATATGCAATCCAGGCATTCGGTTTGAAGCCGCTTGAGATCACGGTGCCAGCAAAGCTCGACAATGCCACTATGGAAAATGTGGCAGGCTCCCTGCAGCTTGTCCGACCCTCGCATTTGAAGTTGCTTGGTGGATCCACCAAGCTAGATGTCGTTGCTGCGGAACAACTGCTCGTGACACTGGGTGGACCATTTAACGCCCTGCTGTTGACTGAACTGCCTCACAACGCGTACAAAAGGATTGCATCTTCTACTCTTATCGTAGCTCAGCCTGTGGACTCACCCAGCATCCTCCAAAGCAAAATCCGGATACTCAATCTTGTATAGATAGTCGTAGTGTTGTGATATCAGGATGAGTAGTACGTTGTGACAGTTGGCGTTGATAAATATGATGGTCATATGGTACTACAATAGATGGCATCATCCCTGCACATGAAACAGAAAAGTCGTCAACCATTCGATCCGAACAACGTTGCCTAGGCATTGATCGGCAAAATTGCCCTCAGCGATTTGCTTGCTCAGCTGTGGGCGACGCGTTGTAAATCCATTACTTTCTGAGTAACCCGCGGTGCGTTGGCAACGCGTTCGCTGATCCTATATGTTTAGAAGTTGTTTTGTAAATGTCAACTGGACTGTATCGAGTATGCTGGGTCCGACATCCCTTTCATGCAACATCTCTGCCGCTACTAGTTGCAGCCATGACTTAGTGATGAGGGTTCATGCTGCGAGCTAAAGTCTCCGATAGACAAAATAACAACTCTGCGCTGGTCAAGAAGTGAGCGTTCTGTACAGACTCTGAGCGACGGCGTGAGCAACGACAGGATATAATTGTTACTCGCCCTGGGGCCGAGGAGATGCAGTTTGCACCGACCGTTTGTGTTGAAGACGTGGGCTCGATGGGGGACGTCGAGGACGAAGGAGCTGAGGAAGGGCAGAGCCCTCCCAATTCTTCGCGTCTCTTCGTGAGCAACAAAGTACGGCCTGGACCAGACGATAATCAGCGCACCCGGAAACGATTCTCGCCCTCACTTGCACGGTGTACGCCGTTATTGCTACCTGGGACGACGCTCGCTGTTGAGCCTTCGGCATCAGCGAGCAGTTCGTCACTTCCCGCCGTGTCGACCTCGGCCCTAGCTACATCCTCACTTGTAGGCAATGTTGTTGGAGCTTCACCTACCTCCACAGCCATGTCTCGCGGACGCGAACGACGGAGTACGCTTGAAGCGTGGTGTCGTCTACGTAGTTTTATCGATCTAAGGGTCGATTCGGAGGAGCGCGTGTCTTCGTGGAAGTGGAGAAGTTTTATCGAGATTGGCGTTGCATGACTGTAAGTCCCCCTTGCGACGTGGTATGATCTTCTCCCCCACAATGTCTCTTACTGGTCGTATTCTATCCAGCTATCCTATTCACTTTGCTTACACCAGATACACGGGATGTATCAAAATTGCCCCCATCTATTCCGATGACTTTTGATTTCCTTAGACGCTTCTAACTGCGGTTTCTTACGCATTACTCTGCGGAACATATAGTTTGAGGCTCCAAAATCGCCTGCTAATTTCTTCCTTTTTCCTTCGTCGTTCACCACTCTTACATATGATCCCTTGCAATCTCTAATATGTCCAGTTCTATCTTTCCTTACAATATACTCATGTTGGAAATATTCTATTAGTTCTGACATCTAGATTGATCCAGACTTACACATGTATCAACACGTTGTCCATCACATGACATTTCTTAGCAATCAGCTCCACAATGATGTCACTCATGACATCATATTATATGTCATATTCCATGACCTTCCATGCTATTCATTACTATACTGAGTAGTAGTTTCCTTTTATGCTACTGGTCCGTGCATACCTACTCATGTATATAAACTTGGGACTTTCTCCCTAGGTCCCCACTGAATTCCACATTCGTTCTTCACTTGTCTACTCAACAACTGAGCCCCTACAAGTTTTTATCAAATGCTACAACCGTTCTAAAAGTTAAAGGCAAGTGTTCATGCCTTATTGCTCTTCGTTTCTCCATGTTCCTCTGTGCAATAGGTTATGAGCCCCGCCTTCTAGGCAGTGTGAGCTATTTACACATTTGCATCGAGCGATCACTGCCAACAGGCAAATCACTGATGGATGTTAGTAGGCCTAGATGTGCTAGGAATGGTTGTAGTAGTCTTTGCCATGTGTCGATTGCCTGCTGGGCTTAACCAGGCTGGTATTGTTACTTCATTATGGTGGTCATGATCCGAATTTATCTGTGGGAGCCTTTTATTCACTCTACCGCATTTTGGTTTTCTTTTCCAGGTCTCTCCTGCTTGGTGGTGACTGATGACAGCTCCTCTTAGAGGATGCAGTCATTTGACGAGCCCTTCTTCAACTGCTTGTTCGTTGTCCTCCGACTCCACCCCCTCACTACCTTCACTTTCATCTTCCTGACATCGACTTCGAGGCTGACCTAGATCCCATACTGCCCTATGATGAGAATGAGGCTGCTGATGCTCCTCTTCCACGTCATGCACTGACTCCTCTTCCTGAGGAGGTGCTTGCACTGAATGAATTGCTCAACCCCAAGCTTGTTCTCACTGTCATCCCTGATGACAACACTGAGTTCGATCTCATCTAATTTGTTCATCCCTGTCTACTGTCATTATGGGAACTAATCTATGGTCTTTACAAAGATGTCTTTGGTTACTGCAAAGAAACTCGAACTCACTATTGCTGAACAATGAGATGGGATGTATGAAGTAAAGTGGCAAAATTGCCCCCATCTATTCCGATGACTTTTGATTTCCTTAGATGCTTCTAATTGTGGTTTCTTATGCATTACTCTGTGGAACATATAGTTTGAGGCTCCAAAATTGCCTGCTAATTTCTTCCTTTTTCCTTCGTCGTTCACCACTCTTATATATGATCCCTTGCAATCTCTAATATGTCCAGTTCTATCTTTCCTTACTGATATACTCAATCATGACCACAGACACCCAAGCAGTATAGATCGAAGAAGGTAATAGTAGTGTCAACTTGGCAACCCATTTTCTGAATCAGAATGTGTACTCCTTGTGTTGGAAAAAGCCACCACCAGCAGGTCTCAATTGTACTTGGTTATCCATAGGCACCTTGACATCGGTCAGCAAGTCTGCAGCTCCATGCCCTCTCCACTTGTCCATCTTCATTTCGAATCATATGCTTACTGCTCCTCCGACATCCCAAGAACTTCAACTTCTCATTATTCATGGCTCCTGGATGGTTCAAGCCATTGTGTTGTGACACAGTCTTTCCACAAGTTCCTGCTCCCATTGGGGCTGCTCAGCCTCCAGTCAGTACAGACATCCATGTCTCTGCACCAACTGAGGTTCCTGTTGAAGTCTCTGACTCTCCCTCAGCCAATATTGGGGGTGTTTGTGCTGCCACAGCAGTCGAAAGCACTGGCTCACATTCTCCTCTGAGCCCTGGCCCTAGTGAGATGGGCATTCCTGTTCCTGTCTCTACTCAAGGTGGCTGCACAGTGTTCATGTTCTTTATGTGGTGCTTTAGTGTACTTAGTTACTTGGCCAGGTTTTTCGTCAAACAGTACAGGTGCTCTTGCTCCTGAAGAAGTACCCACAGGTAAGTGTTGTACTTGCTGCTGAAAGGGACAAGTCTAAGAACATTGAGGATCAGTATCAACCTCTATTCAGCCTACGTTCTGCTTAGATCCTGCAGAAGCTAGAAAGAACATCAGTCACATCAGATGCTTTTCGCATTCTGGTCATGGGCAGAGCCAATGCAGGTAAAATGACAATCCTGCAGAGGGTCTGTTATACTACAGATCAACCAGAAATTTTTAATGGAAAAGGAAAGGTGTGTGTGTTTCACAGTATTTGTTCGAGGTTAACGACATGTTGGGCCATATTCAGGTGGATGCAACTTTAGTGCAGGGTTCACAAAAGGTGAAGTGACTTCATGGATGTTCTGCAATGTACGCTGAATGGTTGAATGCATCCAGCATGGTGAACACAACATTGAGGATGAGCTGGTTTGCAAGAGTAACCAACACTTTGTATTCCATGACTCATGTGGATTTGAGGCTGGGAGTGAACAGCAGTTTGGTGTGATGAAGGAATTCATCATGGATCGTGCCAAGACAATCAGGCTTGATAAGAGAATCCATGCCATATGGTAGGAACACTGTGTCTGGCACCCTAACCAAAGTGACATGGTTTCTGTGAGGGATGTAGGTTTTGTATTCCTTTGCATGATAGCCACAGGATGGTCACAGCTGCAGAAAAGAAATTTTTTGATGAGTGTGATACAGGGCATGGTGTGTATATTGACCATACTCCATTTGATGATTTTAAATATCAGCATTTTTGTCCCAGTTCCTGTAATTGTATTGCTAACAAAAACAGATACCTTGGCCCTGGATGCTTTCATGGAGCTCATTGATGATGGTTTGAATGAAGATGATGCAATGGAAAGGACTGCAGAGGTAGAAAAAAGGAAGTTGAATGAGTGTCTTGTAAAGGTCAAGGGTTGGTTGAACAAGTCAAGGTTTCCACCCCATGACTATCTGTCACTCACTGGTCAGTGTCCTCACCATCACCTGGGAATGGCATACCCTTGATAGAAATGACTGCAGGAATGCAAGAAGAGGGTGCTGATTGTACAACCCTACTGACATGCACAGTGAATGCATTAAATGAGGAAGGACTGCAGCAGCTCCTCATATCAACACAGCAATCCAACCTAGGACTGTGAATGGAGTTTGCAATAACAAAGTAAGTGTGATATAGCTGAAGGATAAGAATGTACTAATATGTGCCAGGACATTGAAGAAGTGCATGCATGACATGGTGGGCAAGATCACACCAGCAGGTCTTGCATTTTACCTCTCAAGATGGTTTCCATATGTAAGAAGATAGAGTGGAATGAGGAGATACTGATTTTTCAACAGCATGTGTGTGAAATTGTAAAAAGAAATGGTCATAATGAATACTAATGTGGCTGTGGCGTTGGGTGGATAGCATGTGAGGGGATCAAGTGCTGGAGGTTCTAGAAGCATTCTGACCATGTTCACTTCTACCCTTTTGGACTTGTATTCATAGGATGCAAGTGGAGCCATGGCAGGTGGTGGAAGCATTCTGACCATGTTCACTCCCACCCTTTTGGACTTGCATTCATGGTTTGTGAGTGGAGCCATGGCAGGGGGTGGAGGCATTCTGACCATGTTCACTCCCACCTTCTGACTATGGTCCCTGGTTTTTGAACATGTTATCCATATTACATAAATAGATGGTGAGTTCAATTGATGTATCCATTCTACATTCACATTTTACATTATCCCAGGATGTAGGTCAACATTTGTATGAGAGTTTCAATTTGACCCTCATATCTTTACTTGCATTAATCAGCATGTCAGTCATCATCCTTCAGAATTATTTCCCATGCTAACATATGGTGTAGAAAGTGTGTATTCATTCTTCTCTCCTCATATGATGATCACTGACAAAGTTTGTAGTTGGTTTGTGGCCCTGTTTCTCATTGATGTTGTCTGATATGGTCCCATCGCACATTGCTAAGGTGGTCTGTTTTATTTTCTTTTGTTCTGCCATAGACAGATCACCTGACTTGACAACATTATAGCCTACCATCACTAATTACTCCTCTTCTGTCCAAATGCCTACTTTGGCCACCTTACAACAACCTTCAATGCAATATGTTGCAACATATGGCATTGGTAATTGATCTCTTGCCATGATTTGACACCCATAACCCCCAATTGCAGGTGCTATACTTGTGTTTGAATATTTGTACTTCTTGTTGCAGGCCAACCAAGTGAATAGTGATTTGCAGATAAACCTTGAACTGGCTGTCAGGACATATCAAACATCAGGTGTCCAAGCTACTGTTGCTAAACTTGTCACAGCAGCATTTCAACATCATGGTGAAGATGTGGAAGCTTTATCCCCCATCCTTGTGGGTATTGAAGGAAAATCAGATGTGTCAGATACTACTTCCTCAATACCAATCAACCTCTTTCTTACCTGTATTTCAATTAGCAAAGATCAAATAGGAGGGGATTTTTTTCAAGTTGTAACTGAGCCTGCTGTGAGTCCCTCCACTTCTCATTAGTGTGACATGCATGTGAAAGATGAAGATATTATTTTTAGGCCACTAATGCTGATCATTTGGAATCCTTCATTATGTGGGGGAGCTTGTAAACACTGGCATTGACTTCTTCCTTATAGTTGGATGTGCCACCAATCTTCATGTTGACAATCCCCACATTTGCTACACCAGGAAATATTGGGAAGATGCAATGGTTCTGTATAAAATTGAATTGAATATATATCCTATTCCATGCCATTCAGCTATCCAGAGTCAAACTTTACCAGTGTTCTATGCCATTCTGCTTTGTCTTTATGATTCATGTCCAAGTGTTTCAGCCCCTGCCCAAGTGACCCAGCAGCTATAACGAACATTTCCCACCTAAGCATCCCTTTGCTGACTCAACCATTTTCTCTCCATTATGACCACTGCCCTCTCACTTAACACCCTACTTCTTAGTAAATTGGCAAACCACCAAGCCATGCATGCATATGCTAACTTAAATAATCAGCTCCTGTCTGTGTGTTGAGTCTGGTTCTTCTCTCCACTGGCAAGTCCTGTTGCAAGGCCAGCTGGGAGGAGGAAGATGTGGGCAGGGATTATAGGTATGGACTGTTTGGACTTAGCTGCTGGTCAAGAAGTGAGCATTCCGTACAGACTCTTACGCTGCTCTACCTGACAGCGCTCTGTCCTCAACCATGCAAGTGCATCGGCAGTATGGTGTTACAAGCTCAATGCATACATCCGGGGATTCCGATCTAACATCGGATCGGTGTGCTTTCACTAACAACCTGTTCAGCTCACCGGCCAATTCCTTGTGCAGGGCTTTTAAGGCTTCCATGTAAGTCGCCCACATATGGAAGCCTTCTTTGCTGGCCATACAACAACCTGTACCTTTGGGAATGATGACAGCATGGCTCCTGGAGAGTGGATCAATGCCAAAGAACATATATCTTGTGCAATCAACACTCATGCAAGGTGTCTTTACTGCAGCAACTTCCCAATTCAGACTTGTGCTGACGTTCGTTACTCGGTCTGCCCGCAGAAGCCAAGGTAAGTTCGTCCTATAAAGCGTTCAAAGTACTTAGCACCCAGGGACCTACACAACAAAATCAATAGCGGGCAGCGTTTAAAATCGTACAAATGTCTCAATCAATTTATCCTCCATAATCGCATCACGAGAAAGTGGCGTTCTGATGGTATTTCTCCTCCAGGCGCTTTCGGACGTAGTCACCTGCAGCGATGGGTTCGTACTTGGGCGGTCTCTCAGGGGATACACAACTCGGCATCGGCTGGACGGGGTAATTGATCTGTGTTCCATAGCAAGAATCAAATGCCAACTTACTTCAATCTGGACATGGTAATCCGTACCGAAAAACAAGGGAATGGAATGCCGGCGGACACCACTCCTGTTGATCGCTCTGTGCACGGTCGACCTAAATACGTCGTCTTTCAAGGGAACATGTGAGACAGGATCGGCATGCATGGTCAGAATGGCAGCTCACTCGTCCATCGTGCAAGCTGGTCTGCGATACTAGGTACAATCAGCTGGGTGACTTGGTTCCCCTTCGTTCTACAACATACTTTATGACCAGTGTTCCCGGGATTGGCGGCGCATTTATCCATTCCCGAGTCTCCGAGTTTAACACCTGAAGAGCTTGAATACCGGGCTCTTGCCATAATATTGTGAAACACTGCATGTTTTTTCATTCAAAATTGGCACGCTTTAAGAAGAATCCCAACCTGGAAACTTTAAGGAAGTTTTTAGGGCATGTTCAAAGACATAAGCAGGATGCTTACTCCGTATGGGCACCGAACCCGATGATACGATCATCATCGGAACCCGTTTGCGGTGGATAATGGAGAAACTGCATGTTTGCGGCAGAATTCCTGGTCTAAAAACCGTCAGTGAAGGTAGTAGGGTATGTAGGAACGATGGTACCTTGTCATCAAAGTATGTTTCAGGGAGATCTAATGCAAGGGCAAAGAGGCGGAACAGGACCTTTCCGACACCTACAGCTGCGTGACTTGATAACAAAATGAGATGAGGCACACTCGAACAGTATGTCATCATAAAACGCACTAGTAACCGAGACAGGCTTCACGGAATCCGGCGGGTTCCAAGGGCCATGCGTTTGCACCAGACATAGAACCATCATTCACTCTCTTTTCGTCGTTTTCCTTGGCTAGCAGTTCTTCCCAACCGATCTCAAAGCCCTCGTGCAGATCGCCTCTGTTGGCTGGGTCGATGTTGGAGTCTAGCACGGGTGTGTACCCTTTGAAATTGGCAACTTCTTTATGATAAAGCTTTTCTGGATGAGGCGAAGATTGGGCTGGTGCAAGGATGGTGGTGCCTACCTTCATTTTCGTCTCAAGGGGGAGAGAAAAGTAAGCCTTCATGGCGGAGAAGACCTCGTCGATCGTCTCTTGGGGTATACCATGGTTGCTGACTGCAAGTAGCTCGTTGGCAAATGATGGATGCTAAGCCTGGAGGACATGTGCCTTACTGTAAAAGAACCCGACATTCACGCAGGCATCCCTTATCTGCTGAGCCAAAGCAGCCCGTTCTTCAGGTGTCGACACACATCCTATATCGCTATCCAGCAGGTGAGGCCGAGTACTAGGTACAGCGGAAGACGACGACGCACACAACAGGTATACTGTCGAATGCGCCACCTACCGAGGCCGCTGTTTGTGGTAGAGACATCTTGCTCGGATGCCTTGCCCGTTCGCGCCAAGCCAGCAACCCTTATCTGATAATGTTGATACGTGCGTCACCAACTTAGGCACCGAATACAGAGGAACAGCTTCAACGCACTTGTAATATTACAGCTGGCCTCGTGCCTGGCATTATCGTCGATCCCGGCTGCTGTCATACTAGTCCTGGCTTCTGTCATATATGTGGACTCGAGACACCGTGGTCAGGGGTGTCGAGCTGCTTACGTAACATACGGGAAGAATCCGACTCTTTGCACTTCAACAAACCAATCAATAGCTCTATTGCTTCCCTTGGAATGTTCAAGGGATCGGTCCCTTCGAGGCAATCCCACCCTACTGATAGTCCGCGGGACGATAACGGGAACCCAGTACCAACGACTCAAATCGAACATAAAGAGGGGTAGTGAAGGATGGCCGCATGACCTGACAGTGGGTGATTGTGCGTACGCTTGGGAACACACCGCAGAGTATGATAGGCATTGTGCTGGACGACCTCCGTCGACATGCCTCGCGCTTCACGACGCTCTTTCTGCACTTTGTAAGATAAGAAAAAACATTAAATCCTGATGCTTTGCACGTAAATCGAGATAGAAGATCTCAGGAACATAAAGGGCCGTGATGGTGTTCAAATACAATCCTTCCGATGTAAATACCGAGGTTACCGCCATGGATCTTGAAACCACGAATTTGCAAGTAGTGCGATTGGAGGTAAATAAGCAAACGAGTAAATGCCTGCATCGATCTAGCTGGTCAGCGAATGGAAACTGAACAAAGCAGTAGACTTGATGTTGAGTTTCCGGAGGCTTGCGGTTTTCGGGGAAGTAGTATAGGACGTGATCGCGAGTCGTATCCATGTGGACACGGCCAAAGCTATGTGTGAGGCTGAGCATCAGACCAGCGTCAAGCAGGTGGCAGTTCCAGACGAAGTGCACGCCTGTTCTAAATTCTCCTTGGTAGCAACGTCGTCCTCAGACCCTTAGAAACGTTCCCTAAGCACTCGCAGTCGGAAAACGTCGTATTGGCAATCCTACGTGATCCGATATCTGCCTCGTCTACCTCATCTATTACCCTACCGACTAGCTACTGAAGATGACCGTCCAGGCGCCTCTTCCAAACAAATGGACCAAGTACTTGGTAGATGTCTATGTACAGGGCCACCCGCCAATCCTGGGTACTGTGGATATAAAGACAATCGAAGAGAAAGCCAGGGAAGCTATGAAGGACCACATGGGTAAGTTCACCTTCATCACTTGCAAGACTATATCGTTCAATAATGACCAGCTGCATACATGTACACGTTCGGGAGTGCTGGGACGTGTTCGACGGACCGGGCGAACACAAAAGCATTTGAGAACTATAAGTTAGTACCCCGCATGCTCGTGGATGTAACCAATCGGAATATAGAGGTAAGCGACAGAGGTCCCTTGACAGCCTGGACGTGTTTAACCATAACGATCCCAGACGACCATTTTTGGAGTGACATACCCTTCGCCGCTCTTGGTAGCTCCAATCGGTGTACAGGGTGCTCTGCATGCAGATGGCGAGCTCGCAACAGCAAGCGCAGCGGGCAAAGTCGGTGTCCCCTTCATAATGAGCACAGCATCCTGTCGCTCTATAGAAGATGTCGCCAAGGCTAATGGTCCAAACGGGCATAGGTGGTACCAGCTCTACTGGTGGGTATCGATCATCATACGTCTTTCGTAATCTCAGAGGTTGATGCCAAATGCAAGGCCCCGCACAACTGAGGTCACACTGTCACTGTTGAAACGTGCAAAAGAGAACGGCTTCACTGCGCTCGTGATCACCTTGGATACGATGATTCTTGGTTGGCGCCCACACGACCTGGGAACCGCGTACCTGCCCTTTGCATGCGGTGTCGGCATTCAAGTTGGGACATCAGACCCGGTGTTCATGAAACGCTTTGGCCTGCCGCCACGCGAGAATGAGAGAACAAAGTTCCCAGTCGAACCCGAGAAGATCAGAATGGCTGGTCTCGAACAGGGTGACGAAGAAGTCCTGCGCAACATGTCGCTCGGGAAGGAGTGGTTGGCGGAGGTGAACTCGGGCGCGTTCAGGACGTGGGATCAATTGAAGTTTATTAGAGATAACTGGGAGGGACCCATTGTCCTGAAGGGGATCCAACGTGTTGATGTTTGTGCAACGAACGCTTTGCGTTGGTATTGGGCTCACTTGTTCTGTAGGATGCAGAAAAGGCAATTACGCAGGGCATTGACGGGATCATAGTGTCCAATCACGGTAAGCCTTCCTAGCACCTCTTCGAACGAGTCATGATATGCAACGCATGTCCTAGGTGGTCGGCAAGTTGACGGCGCCATCGCCTCTCTGGATGCGCTTGACAACATAATGAGGTCCCACGAAGTTCAAGCGGCACAGAAGTCCGGCAAGCTCACTATCCTGTTCGATTCCGGGGTGCGAACGGGCAGCGATGTCCTTAAAGCGCTCGCAATAGGTGCTCAAGGCGTTCTCAGTGGGTATATCCGTGTCCGATTCATTCGCTTTGGTTGATTTACTCTCCCATATGGTAGTCGGCCGACCTGCCATGTATGGTCTTGCTATTGCAGGGCAGGAGGGAGTCGAACAGATCTTGCTGCAAACGATATGCGAAATGCACATGAACCTTGGTTTGTGTGGGTATGGCTCTGTCAAAGATATCATCGGGAAGAAGGACGAAGTCCTGGCAACCTTGCATTACAAATTGTGAACGTGGAGACTGGTGATCGGGAACCTGATAGAAGATGTGATTCTCTATGCCATGTGATGTACGATATACGGAATCCTAGATCTGAGTAGGGAGACGAAATTACCAAGCTAACGATACCGTAAATAAATGGAGTGTCCTACTCACCATCTTTTACTCATCTAAGCCAACACTACTTTCCCTTAGCCGATCGACAGCTCTCCGCCGAGGATCTCTGTATCCACTGGTACTAGCCAACGTCAGTCCGCTCGCATGCCCAAGACTGACCGCACGGGCTCCGTGCTCCCTCCGCACACTCTTCACCGGACCCGCAGTCGGCAAATTGAGCAACTCTTCTGCCGGATTTCCCTCATCGTGATCCTTAAAACCTCTGTCGGTGCCAGATCCTGGCAGCCCGCCTAGTGCCCAGCCAACTTCGATACCCCGTTTTATGCTCCAAAGCCATATGAACCCAAAGACAGGCGTGCTGACAAGTACGTTGAGGACAGGGAACAAATCAGGGTAACGATTTGGTGGTGTCACGACGAGTTCCAGGAGATGAAGAAGTATCATCGCTGCATTGACGGCCTTTTTGTTCCCGATTACTCGTTTAGCCCAAGATCGAACACGTAGAAGGTGGGACACATACGGTGGATAGTAGACCGACAAATGAATCAAATCTCAGGTAGAACGGGTTATAACCAACGAGTCGGCACCACAAAAGTAGTGTGGCGATATACTGCACACCAAGTCCGTCCCTCTTCAGCAGAGGCCACATACTACATCCCGCGCGAAACAGCGTCAATTTTCCCGGGGGGTGGGATTAATGCGGTACGCTCACCTGAATACACCAACCACATTGCCTAGAATCCCCAAGGAATATACCTCATCCCCAACCGTGGCACCGGAAAGCAGCAATGTGAGTGGTAAGAGCGGCAGTAATATCGTCTTTTCGTGCACTTGGAACGAGAAGAGGAAAAAGGACATCGATGTCGTAAGCAAAGCATACAGCAATAAAGGCAACGTTGGTGATGGGGCACGCGCTGGTGTCACGAACGAGATAGCATGAGCTTCTCGCTCTCTGGAAACGACTTGGGGGTGAGTGCGCAGTTGCATTTTGAATGAGCCCCAAAGGAGCCCAAATACGGCAGGCAGAAAACCGGCAACTGTAAGGGCAGCTGAGAGCTTGATAAGTCGACTTTCCTTCCCTAGGAACAGTTGCTTCCATTTCACCAAGGTGACATTAGTAAAGCACCAAAAGTTTGCCACCTTGTCCTCAAATAAGCCACGTGCAAAGGGGAAGATACGCGATATGGCAGCGAAGAATGACGAAAGAGGAGCAATCGGAGGTAAGAATGGGGCAAAGAGAAGGATAAACGAGGATAGCGTAACAACAGCAAGACGAATAAATAGTCGGGTTCTTGCGAGCCAGTATTATTTAGTTACGCCGCAACGTCCGAGTGCGGAGATAGGCTCACCCTTGAACTGGACCAAGGAAAATGCATTTCCCAAGGAGATAAGATCCAATAACAGGGGCATAATAGAGGGCCATCTGCTTGAATCCCAAACTGAGGACAAAGCATGCCGCACCGAGGAGGTCCAGTCCAACTGCGAATGAATTGAGGGCAAGGAGCGACAGACCTGTGTAACTTCAGCCATTAGACTCGTATTAGCAGACACCGGTCGCGTACCCAACATGATCGAGTTATACTGGAAATGGCCAAAATCTATGAGAAGCAGAGCAGGTTGAAATAAGAGTATCAAGAGTGATGCATGCTATTACATCGTCCTGAACAATCTACACCACGCATAAAGTAAGAGCAAATACCTGTGTCCTCAATGACCTTGACCTATGCCATATTCGCGTGAACCCATATAAGGCTGGAACATACACCAGCATGTCGAGCGCAACGACGGTGGAGCGCATAAATAATTTGCTATTATACGTCTCGATCCCGCGAGATTCCTCGAAAGCGAACCACGAAGGGTCGATAAGTGATCCACTTTCATAAACGCCGGACGTCAGCACAAGTGGCCTCGGGGAGCATGGACATCCCAATACTCACACTTTCCCGCACAACCAGGATATATAGGCGGTAAGTGGTGGATAGTCGAGACCCCAGTATTGTAGATCGTACGTATACCATTGTTGGGGCGCTAAGTGTATGGCCAGCTCCATCCAATGTCGTTGAGCTTCATAATCACCGAACATTGGTGGAGTGGCATGACCTTTCGAAGATTGGAATTAAAGACTATCCAGAAGATAATAGTTTCATTTGAAAATTTTCGACGCACGTACCGGAGTAATCACCCAGACCTATGCTCCACTTTACCCAAGCCGACGTAGCAATAGCAAGAGGGACGACCCACGCTTTCATCCCCTGCTTGTGCATCCATCTGACCCATCGTTTTCCAGCGCCTGGGTCATCCCGACTAGTTTCCTGGCCTCTCCGTGTCGACCCAGTCCGTGAGCCCCGGGCAGTCAAATCTGGCTGTTGCAACACACTGAAGCTAAGGCGTTTGCTGGCGCTGCTCGAGTATGGATACGTGGAGGCAACAGAAGAAGTAACGGAGGCAGGAGAAATGCATCGCGCTTGGAAATCTGCCTCGGAATGCGAGGAACCTACTTGAAGCCAAGTAAGACTCTCGGACGAGTGCAACGGGTGGCGTCGTGGAATGGGAGAAAGTATTTCGGACGGCCCAGCATCAGACCTATTTTCAAAGTACTTGAAATCAACAACGATTTATATCGCATTCTAGTACAAGCACGTACGGGCCCGCGCCTTTTGGGCTGCGAGTTGAGCCGCGGCTACGCATGGACGCTCGATACTGGGGATGTACATCCAGCGACACAGTTCTGTCCCGAGAACGCTTTGTTGGGGGTTTAGCATCCTGCATCGTTTGCACTGGCAGTGTGTCTCTTCCAATTGGCGTGCAGTCGTTGTGTGAGGCAGTGAGGTGGCAGCTGGTTGCAGCCTTGTTTGTATGCCCCAATTGGGAGAGAATAACCCCTGTCCATTGACGACTACTCTAGGGGCTTTAAACAAGCCCTTAAAAAACACCGCCTTCTAACGCCCATCGCATGGGGCACGGAGCGTACAACGGGATCGTGTCTTCGTGGGCTGTCGGTTGCCTCCTCCAACCAGTGTGCGGCTCGGGGGAGGCATCCGAAGGTTATTCCCTCGAGGCTGTGACGACTGACAGTCCGGTGGTTGTTTGCTCGGATATTCACGAGTTCATCTGACTCAGAACTCCATTGGAGCTGGTTTCCAGAAGCAAACTCTGCGAAACGAGCCATCCTTTTGAAGGAAGGTTTGAACGTCGGAGTACAAATATAGTTGGGACTGGCATCAATTAGCAGGCCACCAACTTTTCTAGCGCTGCCTATTGACAGGTATGTAACGCGATGAAAAAACTTCCTTGTTGATCCTAGTGAATAGTGCTGCAAGCTGCATGGTACCCAGTCTGTGTCCACTGTAGGTGACCCTTGGAGCAAGACACATTACTTGTAAGTGACATGTCACCATCCAGATCTCTCAGCAGAACTGCCTCCCATTTCATTTTTGACTCCACACCCATAGCTATTCGGCTGTCTGCCGACTGACATGACTGAAATTACTGAGACAACTTCTGTCAAATTGAATAGAATAGGTATAAAATAGCACCGGCTGTTCCACGGCACTGTTCGGTTGAACTTTCTACGCATGTCCAGCGACTCCCCATATTATACGGCATCAAGGACCAAAAATGGAGAGTTCAATCCACTCTCGTCATCCCTTGCTTCAGAATCAAGAATGGGCATCCGTGTACATAATAGCGAGGGCAAAACATTTTCCCCACACATCATAATCCCCAGTGGCTGGCCATGGCAAGTTTTCCGACTGATCGGAAACTAGTACTCAACTCCCAACGAGTGTGCGTGTTGGCAACGAAGTAATGAATGATTACTGCTGGAGGGGGCGTAAAGATCAACGCATGGGAACGCCGGCTGAGAAACTCACAGAACATATACCAATGCGAACGAAGCCGGGCCCGCGGAGCACATCACATTTACCGCTGCAGCAATTTGCTTCACCATACCCCGGGCAGAACTTGCCTGTTGGGGTGCACCGCTCCTTCTGTGCAACGCTAGCAAAACTCCAAGAGCTTGACCCCGGGACGGCAACACCGGCGACGACGGAGAGGAGAGACACAACGCAGAAATAAAGTAGCGTTGGACGCATGATAATTCGCGATAGTGGGCAAGGACGCGTCTGACCTGCGGCAGGGTTGTATTGGTGCCACCGGTTTATTTTATACTCGCCCCAGCTCCGCTTGCCGCAGCCCTTTGGGAGACTATTAGCGTTCAGTGACAAACACATGCCAAAAATGCCTAGTACTATCATTGCATACTACCCTTATTAGAGCAGTATGTCCGTCTGTCCGAAGTCGCGAACTCCGGAGCCAAAGGGGCGTTGCTGATACCTGTTGTGCGCAGCCTCATCTGAAGGCCGTACGTTTACTAAAGAGTCGTACCAAAAAATGATGCTAACGATGGCGTTTCTAAGCAGACCACGCAAGTCCGCGCAAATCGTGGCCCTCCATCCGATCGGATCACAACATCCAGCGCCCATGACGCGCCACGAGCTAATGAAGCATGGATCACATTGGAATGCTACACATGTATTGTGGCTGACTACCAGAGGACTCTCGAGGGTGTCAGCGCGGGTGGTGCACCCTCTCCGGCTTACAAACCTCCGGAGTACTTGATTCTCGTCAACATAGGATATCGCATTGACGAATGCCAAATCCAGATTGCTGCAGCCGCACCGCTACATCCATACCTGTACATTTGCAGGAACTGCTATCTTCTATGTAGTTAGGGGACTTCCACCAGGGAAAGCAAGGATGTCTTACAGAACCACTGTGTGGCAGAATCGCCTGAATGGCGCACCTAAGTCGACCCAAATATGAATACTGGGTCTCCGATCTGAGCTGTAAAGAACCGCCTATCCTATCGCAAGCACCACTGCTCTCCTAATATTGGCAGTGAGCGTGGATTGGACGATGGTTCATGCATCATGTCTCCCATCACAACAGTGGCTTGTGTCCCGATCATCTGCGTACTGTTGGTTATCGTGTGGATTCCGGGGAGCCCGGTACGACGGATTGAAAAGTGAATACCACAACGAAGACTCCAAATAAAGAGTCAAGACCAAAAACTACCTTGGGAGAGCCTGAATTTGCATTTCAACACGCCGCTTCCGGCAGGGGGTTTCACAAGAATGCTGGCACTGCAAGACATGCATTCCAGGGCGAAGAGGAACCAGCTAACTTCCACTTAAATCTAGGAAGATGACGACACCCCTCGCCGCGGTGTGGTAGTAAGCATCTGCATATCCACATAGAGAGGGAAGATAACCAGTATCCAGGTTTCTTCTCCACTGTGCCGCCGATGGCACGCAGAGATGGGAATGTTTCTGGAAATGGTAGCGCACCCCTCTTCTGGGGGTGGTAACCCACTGTGTAATACATCATCATCGCCCGTGCATGACATTGCATGACAGCGAATACCCGCAATACTCGGATGGCGTTCAATGAATTTTACGAGTCTGCAGCATGGGGAGAATCAGAGCCTGAAACACAAGATATCGTTAAGGATGCGATTAGGAAGGAACAAGTTTTGCAGTGCGTTTGGTACAGCTCTTGTTCACAGGATTGACAAGCGAGCTTGTTTCAACATCGCATACAGGGAAATCGCAGCAGCGCAGGACGATTTGAAAGGTATGTGCAATACGGTGTTCAGGTCATTGCCCACTAACCCTTTGCTATTATTTAAACACCTCGTCTCGTCCAGCGCTGCTTGGGAGAGTGCACAACGTTCAGACAGACGTTGACAAACTCACGTCGGAGAACGCAACACTACAGGTGTACATCGACAATCTGACCATGCAAATGGCGAAACGGAAATAAGGGTCGACACTTCGCACTCGACCGGGCCGCTTGGTTGCGTCTCAGTCCGCTGGTTGAAACCAAGGTATGTAGATGCTACCGCGCACGATAAGTCCTGGCCTGCTGCACCAACTAACTGGAAGGGATAGGTTGTTTTGCATTCGTCTGCTGGTAACGGCGATGATATGGCGGCGAGACACCTGTCATCATTCTTCCGTGCTATACCGGAGGGTCCTGGGATGCACTACGGTATACTTACGGTCTACAGACTAGCATGTCCTTCTTGGTCTACCAAGATCCGTTCATTGTACCCGTGATCCTACGACCTCTTGATTACTTTCGTAACTTGAAGCTTTGCGCCTCTGATCCATGTACACAGTCTCCACGAAGTCCGCCTTGGATTCTACCTCGTGATGTGTCTACCTTACCTGGCCCATCATTATATCTCGTTATGCCCAAGGGCCCTGAGACACGTTATACTCACAATAGAGCCAAACCACGTATCATCCGACGGACGATCAGTAGGGTGGGATCGCTTCGGAGGGATCGATCCTTTGAACATTCCGAGGGAAACGATGGAGCTATCTGGTTAGTGCGGAGGCGGTGAAAACAGATGAGTCATGATGCCTCAAGAGTGACAAGGACTCCGAGCAATATGTCTCTGGCAGACACGGCGGCCTCGATGAGCGGTGCGTTCGACAATAAACCCATTATATGGTGTGCGTAGTTTCCACCACCCCTAGTACCACTGTTTAGACTCACAATTTGAGTAGCAATATAGGACGTGCGTCGGCACCTGAAGAACCGGCTACTTTGGGTCAGTAAATAAGAATAAGGGATGCCTATGCAATAGTCGTGTTGTTTTGCAGTGGGCACAAGTTTCTGCTACCTAAACATCAGTCATTTGCCATAGAGCTACGGTTAACAATCACTGTAGTATACCCCAAGAGACCATCGACGAGGTCTTCTCGGCCATGAAAGTTTGCCTCTCTCCCCCGTTGGTGATGCCAACTATGCATGAAGTTCCCTTGTTCGTATCCCAGGATCGGATGACAAATTATGATTGGAAGTTTTCAGCTCGGATTCTTCCGATCATCACTTTTCCCTCACGGTACTTCAGGCACTCCGAAATTGACGGATGCTTTATTCACACCTTCGTACTGGAGAACACCACGACTGGAACAGACCACTAACAGACCCCATGATGACATTGGGATGTAGCAAGCAAGACACATATTCTGCCCCGTGTCGGACTTATCAGGTAATGTGATACACAGTACCAACTGGCTGCTGCCCTCGGACCGATTGATGGCTATGGCTCTTCGCAATAGGCTAGTCCAACCAACCACCTCCACGGCACCCAACAATCCTGTCATTATTGTGCTGTGCGACTGAATACAACCTCACCATTTACTGAATGCCGGATACATAGCCTGGGAGGCACGCACACCTCTTAAAGGTATCCATTGGACCTTGCGCGGGAAAAAGACATATTTTTGACAGATTATCTCTATGGAGCACATCGTTCTCGAGCAACGTGACCACCTCCGTCTATTTTCAGCACCCTGCGTGTTGCATTTTCCAGGTATGGCCAGGCTAATCTGAAGTTGATTTGGCGCGGCATGGGGACCCAGTATTTTGGATAGTTTTCTGAAAGGATTTTAAGGGGCCCCGCTAGTGTAGATAAGGATCGTCCGCCTGCCTGCACTGTTTCAAACATCGCCGTTCATGAAGCAGTCAATCACTTTCGATGCTGACGACGTCCGGCAAGATCACATTGCTGGTGAGAAGTCAGAGGCCGGTTTATCGTTCTCTCGTGCTCCTGTTCTTCTCATCCCCAAAGAGGAGTCTCAACTATGGCGCAAAGTCGACCTCAAACTCATGCCCATCATTGCTTTGATGTATCTACTCTGTTTCATGGACCGCGGTACGTTCTTTAAGATACCGCAATGTTGCGTGGTTGTTGCACGATATATCCAGGAAACATTGGTGAGGCTAGCTTGTCTATATTGCTCGCAAGCGATCCACTCATTCCTTCCAGGTAACGCTAAATTGGACGGATTAATGACGCAACTCGGGCTTGATGGGAATCAATACAATGTTGCCTTAGTAAGTCTACGCACTTCTTACGAGAACCACTTGGTTTTGAATCTTTGCAGACGTTATTCTTCATAGTACGTCATTTCGTTTACCATTCAAATTGTGAAACTACAAGCAACTCGGTCGTTGTCCAGTCTTTCAGCATTCTCGATTGCCCCGCCAAGTGTGTATCTGTAATGGGTGTAATCCCGCATCTCTGACTTCCTCACAAGTTATATCATTCAATTTGTCCCGCCTTCTAAGTGAGTATGCACGTTTGCGTTGTGAGACCATACCTAAAGAATTCAAAGATGGCTTGCGGGTACGATGGTGAGTGGCTATTCCCTTTTTTCTAATGCTCTCGACATTTTTGAGCAGATCCTCTGGGGGCTCGTTATGTAAGAGTATGAACTCAAATGCGATATCCTCGGCTCACTTGTGCTGCTCCTCAGGATGTCCATGGGTTTCGTAAAAACGTGAGCAATACTATTTCGTGTTGCCTGTGCTAACATTGTCTCAGCTACGCTCAGCTGGTTGGAGTGCGTTTCTGCTTGGGAATCGCAGAAAGTGGTTTTTATCCTGGCGTTGCATACTAGTACCTTTTTACTATAACCTCTCTCTGCCTTTCTAATGTCTGTCTTCGAGCCTCACAATGTGGTATCCGAAGTATATGCTTCAACGCCGGTTCGCACTCTTCCTTGGAGCAGCAACTTCAGCTGGTGCATTTGATGCATATCTTGATTTGGATTTAGTAGCTAACTCTCCTCGCAAGGCGCCTTCTCTGGAATACTTGCATATGGCATCAATTTCATGGATGGAGACGGAGGGTATCAGGGTTGGTCGTGGATTTTCGTGCGTCTTCCATACTGCGATTGGGCCGCTCCCTGACACGCCAACAAAACTTGCCTTAGATCCTTGAAGGTATAGCTACAATCGTAGTAGGTTCCGTCGCCCTGTTTGGTACGTTCATCCCTTGTCCCGGGTAAAACAATAGCCATAGACCAGCAACACAGTAATGGTGGATTATCCATCGACGGCCAAATTCCTGACGCCGAAAGAGCAACAATATATCACCCAACGAAGAGGTGAGCACCTTTATCCTTCTGGTGCATTTCAGACCTGTAATGAGGCTGCAGAGTTTTCCGAAGTGGATGAGAAGGGTGATGTAGCTGCACAAGTACGAGCAGCCTTTACGGATTGGCAGGTATGTAGTAAGATATCACTTGCCGGATTTACAGAGGTGGACTCACGTTGTGGCGAAGGTATGGGCGATGTGTATTGTACAAATGTCAATTACGGTGCCTCGTAAGTAACTCCAGGCTACTTGCACTCAAGTATTGAATGGAAATGGAACCCAGTTTACGGCATCACATACTTTCTCCCGTGAGTCTCGTCTAGTAATGACAGTCAGTAAATTGACGAGAGTAAAAGATCGATTATCAACAAGTATGTCTGGCCCCCCTCCAAGGCAGGCATTTGCTGACTGTTAAAAGCTTCGGATACACCACTTCAACGAGTCAATTGCTTTCCGTGCCACCATACGTCTTCGGCGGTGAGGGTGCCATAGCATAGTTCTGAGATCAGGCTCACATGTTGACTTCCAACTTAGTCATCGTTCTCCTTGTCATTGCAGACTTATCCGACAGGATGCAACGACGCTCACCCTTCATATTCGCCTCGCAAGTGATAGCCATCGTGGGCTTTATCATCAACATCACTGATGTGCCAAATGGCGTGAAGTACTTCGGGACCTACCTCTGCGTAGCTGGACCATATACTGGAGGGGTAGGTTCCATAATATGGTAGGGTCTAACCTGGCGTAAGGTACCGTGAATTATCGTGTAACCATGCTTTGTATCAAAGGCTGGCAAACAACTTGGAGGGGAAGTGCAAGCGAGCGGTTGGAATGGCATTAGTGATCTGCATGGGCAACTTAGGGGGAGCGATCGCGTCAAATATTTTCCGCAGCCAAGACGCACCGAGATATCTCCTTGGACGTTCGTGTCACTTTGCTCTGTTAGTTGATCCTGATGACACTGAAGTCATAACCTACTAGTTGGCATCGAAATCATGTTTTTGGCGATGGGTATGATCGCTGTGCCTATCATAGCACTGACATACCGACGCATCAATGCTCGTAAAGATGCTCTCCAGCAGCAGGGGAAGATGGAGGGAAGTGAAGTTCTAGACAAAGAGAGTTTTAGGTACACACTTTGATAACTTGGAAGTACTATGTCTGTTTTTGTGCATCTTAGGTGCTTGGGGTGCCAATTCTTTTGCCATGGTAGTTGCTAACTGAGAGCCTTTGCAAAAATGGGCATCAAGATAATGTAGTTACAATTGTTCGGGCAGTGTCATGAAACTGCATTACAATACCACAAAGGTATTTTTCAAATGCGATATTACGTACTTACGTACTTATGTGAACATTACTGTCGTGCCAGTTTTCAATAGTGTGAGTATGGTGGTATCCGAGACTAGCTTACATCATGTAAGTCACCTTCAGCATAATGTCAGCATCTCGTCCGTAACAATGTTTTGACATTTTTTGTAACCCAATTCATAACAATGTTTACAATAGTATGATGAAATCCGATGAACAATTATTTTGCACCTTGTGCTATCATTTATTCCCAGCTGTGCGACTGTAACCTCTACGCTATAAATACCGGGCAAGTATCTGTGTTCGTGGTAGGGGAGACAAGTTGCCGACCCCCCTGGCGAACGACGTTAGGTTGATCATACAAGCACGACGATGAATGCGAGCACCTACCAAAGACCACGGCAAAATGGGGGGTAGTCTCGTTCCATCAGGTATCAATGAATACTCAATCACAGGGAAAAAGAACAGCAGGATTCTTGGCGGTGGCCGCGGGCCCGCCGAGTACGGCCCCAGGGAACCACCTGGCCAGGTTGGCAGCACGCCATTCATTGGTGGGCGGTTGCAGGGGAATCGTTGCATCGGCATCATAGTACGCGATAGCGAAAGCAATTCTAGTATTTTCTGTCGTGTTGCATGCCGCAGCATGATACGTCCAGCAAGAGTGGCTACAATAATTGTGCTAAGCCTGATTTCCGACAGGTAGGAGCGAGATACTTACAATGTCGCATCTCCTGCGTTCATATGTTGCGCGGGGTGCACGGAAAGGTTTTCCCTCTCGACCAAATTTCTGATATATTCATCGCTCTCATCAGAAATCGGCAGATGCTCAGCATGTCTACTGAGGTGTGAACCCGACACAAACGACATAGGACCCATGTCTACCGGACAATCTATCAGCGGAACCCAAAGGGTTATGCACTTGTCCGTGTCAAGGGGCCTGTCACCACGGGCACAACTCGTTGTACGTTCAGAGCTAGCATTTAGAAAGAGGTCACTCACCAGTAGTGCCCGTCCTGGTGCCACGGTGTCCGTTTGCCTTTACCAAGACCGTCCTTGAAGAAGGTGATGTCGTGATAAATCCGCACGTCACGACAACCTAACAACTTCGCAGCGATTCCTTGTCCTTCACCGTGAGCATGAGGTTGGTGCCTGATCATCATGAACGCACCTGCGTAGCGCTTAGACAAGACATGAGCACGCACGACGTCGTTGATTTGCCATTGGTTTTGGGTGATGCGGAACGCCTTCTGGAAGTCCTCCTCTTCGGCTTTGAGAGCTTCGTGGGCTCGCAAGACGGCAACGCGCAATTCAGGGATCGCCGATTTAGGAATGACATTCCTGAGCAGGATGTGGCCCTGGGGGTTTCCGTCAGCAAAGACAACTCCATTCAGCACAAGTACGGAACAAACATTGTTCTGGTACTCATCAATCTGGGACTGGGAGAGGTCGTAGTCCTCAGCAAGTGCGATGCGACTGTGGAAGACCATTGTGTATATTCGGAAGGATGTAGGCTTTGTGACGCGTGGAATATGGTTTCTGGTTCTCCTCGACCATCTTTTCAGCTTTTTAAATCTTCAGAGTACAATTTGGCATGTCCCCTTTCTTGGCAGGTTGGTTGAGATAACTATGGCTTCGAGAACAGAAACCTCACCTCAAAACTACCCCCGACTTAGGAGTTTTGTTTTGTTTTGTTTTCGTCGGTGTTTTGGCTGCTTCTTCTTTAGCACTCTCAATATCTATCACTTCTTCCCCTTCGCTCTCCATAGCCTTTTTCCCTCTGCCTTTTTCTGGTGCACTTTTGGCAACGGCTGTTTTGTCGGTAGCGATGCACGCCGACCCTCGGCACTGCCAATGTCCACGTCTGAGCTACCGCCATGCACCCGGTAACGCATCAGTAAATATGATAACTGATGGAGAATCTTTCATCCCTTCCCTTCGCTTCCCCTAACACAACCAAACTCAGAACGGCGATACCGTGAGCAATGGTGGAAAGTACATATAGGGTACCTTTCCTTTTCTGTCGTAGTCTTTTCTACTCTGCTTCGTTCGGCATACCCTGTGGCGCGCCGTTCCTGGCTTTGACGAGTTTGAAGGCGTCATCAGATTCCCAGCGCATCTGAGATTGGCAAGGCAAGGTTGACATGTTGCATTATCTAGGTCCTTTCTATTTACTTCTCACTTCTTCCATGAGGACCTTTACGGCGGCTATCAGTATAAGTCATGAGCGGAACACACGGGGAACATTCCCCCACGTACGTTTGAATAGTATAGGAGTCGCCTTTTTCTACAAACATTTGGATAACGTCCGACAACCCAGCTTCTTGGTAATGCTAAGTTCTGGCTCGTCGATGCTAAGCTCTGGCTGGTCACTCGTGACCTTGGTAGAGCGGGCCGTCCTCTTTGGATAGTGAAAGGCAAGGGCACCGCGTTGATTTACGATCCGCCCTTGGAACTCCTACCCACACTTGTTGAGTCAACCTTGAGGGATAAGTGACCCTCAACATACCTTCAGTCGAATAAGCAGAAGTATGTGAAGAAGAGGATCACCACCCTCTATGGCATCGGCACGACGATCATCCCAGAGTTTGTTTTCCTGTTCAGTAAGTGTCAAGGAAGTGTATTGTCCTAAACAGTTTTAGACTAGCGACCCGCGAAATTTTAAAAAATCATCATACCCGTGACCTCAAGAACTTAGGCATGGAAATCTGATTATTCAATTCGAAGTCTTCTTCCTCGGCCGCCTCGCTCAACACCACCACCTCCAGCACGAGGAAGCGCACCACCCGGAGGGGATAGATTTCATTTCATATTCCTCGGCTTTGTATTCGGAGCAATGCGACATGTCTGCGATCAAAACATGGATGCTATTTAGCAAATGATGTATAACGTTGATCCATACTTGTCGATCGATTCGCCGTCTGCCAATGAAGTGGCAATCGAGGATCCAGGCTTTGTGGCTTCCCTGCGACCGGCTCTGGCACAATCCGACGTCAGTCATGTTCGAACGCGCCCCGTACAACTAGGTCGACACTGTCGTTAAACATGCCTTCAGGTAAGAACTTGTCGATGACCGTTGGACTTCAAGTTAAGGGCCGTCCACAAATGCCCTGCAGCTGGGACGTTGCGCACTTGAAGCTTCAAGCTTCTAGCTCAAGCTTCCCTCGTCGCGTTCTGCAGGGACAAAACATGTACAAATATACTTCTCCTAGCCTAGGAGTACATGCAGTCACTACAACCTCTTAACGGACCAAGCCAAGACATTCAACCTTTGACCCATAAGGAAAACTTCCCTCACATTGGCATTGACTTCTACCTCTCCCTTTTCGAACACCGTTCCATCCCACAATTCTATCCAACTCTGCGGGGAGTGGGAAAAGAGAGGGAGTTCGCTGCTTCCAAAGGCCATTGGGACATTTCCTTTCTCTTTCCTGCCGGACTGGAAACCGCAGATAATGGAACCTGGTTCTGGAGACAATAATCCAGCGAGTGCACGTGCTAGATGTAGCTGTTGCTCTTCACTGAACAAGTGTAGGAAATATGAGGTATGGATGACGGAGCAGTGACCATGAAGAGGATTGAGCGACGTCAAAGTCGACAGGTCAGGCGGTGATCCTAGTCTAGACCCACGGGCGACAGGTGCAACAGACAGCATCTCGGGATCCAGTGCATCTCCCGAAACGAAGTGGCCAGCCCACGTATCTTTTGATGTTCTGAATAAGAAGTGACTGAGTTCCAGGAATTCTGTCATTGACAAATGATCGTAAGTGATGGATTCACACAAGTGAAAAAAGAGTACCCTACCTTCCTTTATGTCCGACGATATTATACCGCGAGCGGGAAAACCATCAAATGCAACTCTCCTGGACTCCACCGAAACTGTCCATCCGGCGTTAGCAAAGGTAAGTATGTACCACCCCGGATAACTTACAACAGCACCCGAGGTCGAGGAAGATAGGATCTGTGCGCTCGCGACCTATAGCTAATATATCACTGTACACAGGTAGCTTCGTAATGTCCATCCTGGAACGCACGTGAGCTTTACCCAGTCTACGAATGGCTTTGCTCACCTTAAAAATCCGAAAAAATAGATGCAAGGATACGGCGCAACCTGTTTAGTAGTTAGCGATGTGGAACTATGCGAAACGAGGCGAAACGGACCTTGTAGGCTCTTTCTTGAGCCATCAAAATGTGTGCCGTTAACGTTTCATCGTCCTCAATCCCAGTCGCAGCCTTGAAGAAATCGGCTTCATCAGAAGTGAGTGAGTAGATACTGGGGTCTAACGGGGGAACATGGACTATCTGCGCTGAGCCAACTCTGAATGAAACACTGTCAGCACTTGAGATATCCGGGGAATCCATGGATTACGGGTTGAGTGAGAAGAGATTAGGGCCTTGTTGAAGTGTACGGGCACTGCTCTTTAAAAGAGGGGAAGACCGTGGTGCTCAACACGATGCCTGGCTTGATTTGTGAAACCTGAAAGGTACCAGTGTATCTCACCCGAAAATTACTTCCGCCAAATGGAAGAAATACCGTGTGTCTATAATCACTGCATTGGGCATGGGTAGCTCAGCCAACCGCATACTGTCTCTGCAAGGGGCTTGCGTCGAACCTCTCATCGAAGTCGGATAAGGGACCTCGCTGGAAGCACCAACGCGATACTTGCCATTTTTTTCTAATTCGGGGTGGGTCGCAGTTAGGCTCCACAGTTCGATCAGCAAAACACGCTCACAAAGGGAAAAAGAATTAACAGAGGAGCAATTTACCTGGTGTTTCGGAGTGGCGTCTGACGAGTCAATTCATACAGTCGACCTAAGTAGGAAGTGCACCTCGAGTTAGCGCAGAGGGCCGCGGACTAGGTACAGTTGGACCCGTGGAACCTACTAACCGCGGCCGATAACCAACGAATAAAATTGTCGTTCCAAATGGCAAGTGTTGTCAAATATGATGCAGCTACGAGAACAGACGCACACACGTACCTTTGGTAGAGTCTCCCTGAAAGTTGGAGTAGTTTGCACGAAGCGCGAAATTTTCGATTGGTCTGATGCAAGTACTGACCGTCGTCGTTTGCGTCACTTTTGCGACATGCTTTCGATATCTCGTTATCACTGTTTCCCAACGAGCGTCTGTCAAAAGGTGTGCTGGAGATGATGTGTGGCGAGAGAAAACCACTCGCTGCAACCTCACCGGATCTTTCTTCAATCACAATGTCCGCGCTCAGTCAATCGAAGATGACCGCTAACTGGCCATTCTGAAATGTCCTTCCAAATTGCGGCTCCGGTGCGAAGTTGCTTAGCTTACGACACCCCGCAAGATCTTTTTTTCCAGACTAAATTTGGGTCTGTTCTGCGAGGAGCACTCCCAGGTTTCCATGACGGCCGTACTTTGTAAGATCCCAGCATGCTACTACACCAGGACTGGGTGCAACCTCTGTGAAAGTGGGACCTCAGTAACCGACGACTGCCCTTTCAAATGGCAATTACATAGTTGTATTCAACTGACGAGAACAGATGTGCACCCGCAACATTGCTGCTAGTAAAGTCTCCCCTGTGAGTTAGAGCAGTCAGCATTGCGTGCGGCGCTTGGAGAATTGGTTTGAGGCGAGTGTTGACCGCCGTTTGCGACTCGGACATGCTTGGCGAAACCAAAAGTGCAACTTGGAGTGTCCCTGTATCGAAGCTCACGCCGCTCAGCCCAAACCGGTCATACCCGGCTAAGGCACATCCAGGACGACCCTTCCGATGATGTTGCGGACGAGTATTCGCAATGGCGTGTGTGCTCACCTGCCTTCCCGGCTGTCGCGGTCTTCTCGAGCAGTCACGGTGGGGACAAGCGCTACTACCACTGCCAGTACTAGCAGTTCAAAAACTAACACCAATCCAACGTCTGCTGGCCAGAAACCAACCCTCGGAGAGGATCGTGTCAATTCTCCCTCAGAAAGCTCGCGCGATACTACTGTCTCGGATGCATCGACCTCCACGACGGCAACCCCGGATTCCTTTGACACTCCTCAACCTACGGACAGCGTCAGCGCCTTCAACGGACGCATGCGGGAGTGGGCACACCTTGCTGTGACGACAGTACGAGAACGTGCCGATGTATTCTCTACAAAGACAAAGGCGACGTTCTCTCAGCTCGGAGGACACTTGAACCGCGCGACGGGGTACGATGCTATTGACGTCTTAAAGCGACAAGTTGTCGAGCAAGGTGTGCACATGTCTCCTTTGCTTAACTTTACATTCTGCTTTTGCCCTTGTATTATCAGTGAAAACCTAGTGCTAATGAATTTCTTTCTTTCTGCTGCTTTTTTTCTCATTTCTTGTCTTAATGTACAGAGGCAAGGATCAAGGCCGCTCGAGAAGCAGCTCGGTCTGCGAAACTTGCGTATGATAAAGCCGTCATCCAGCGTGCAGTCGCACAGCGTGACGTGAACGAGCTGCTGCAGCGCAAATCGAGCTGGAGCGACGAGGACGTGTCCCGGTTCACGGCCCTTGTCCGTGCTGACCATGCGCGAGAGCAGGACGAGGCTCGGGCGAAGGCTGCGGTTGCTGCGTCCGAAGATTCAGTCGAGCGGGAGTTCAGTGCGCTCATGCGGGCGATTTTGGCACGGTATCATGAGGAGCAGGTGTGGAGCGACAAGATCCGGAGCGCGTCGACCTATGGATCGCTCGCGGCTCTGGGCGTGAACTTGGTGGTCTTTGTGGCAGCGATCGTGTTCGTTGAACCGTGGAAGAGGAAGCGCCTTGCTCAGACTTTTGAACGGAAAGTGGAAGAGCTAGGGTCAGAGACAAAGGCAATGGTTGACGAAGGGGCGAAGAGGATAGAGGAACGTCTGGTTAACCAGGAACGCCTACTTGCGGAATTGTTCAGTGGTGTCGCAGAACATGTTCATGAAGTTCCCTCTGTCTCTGCATTAGTCGAGCAGCAAGAGCAGTCGAGGGCACCAGAACTCCCGAGGCGGACATTCATATCACATCCATGGTTTGGGGCTGTTGGGACTCGCGAGCTCGTTCTCATTGCAGGGAGCGCAGTAGCAGGCAGTGCAATCTCGCTGTTAACCCGAAGTCTATTTGATAGTTGAAATTTCCGAGAGGACGCCATTATACCGACGTAGATCTAACAATATTCTTCCCGCAACACTTCATCAAGCACTTCTTACACTACTATCACAAAACATTGACACTGCGGTACATCCGACAATGCACCCTGGAATTGGTCGAACCAGTGTGAAGGGTTGTAAACAAAATACCGCTCACCTCTCCAAGACGTAGTCTCCCTTACGATCGGACATTTGGCATTGAGACCAGGTCTCGCAATCCCATTTGGCCCAACCCCAACCATCTTTAATCTAGATCTCACGAGTGTGGGTGGCTGCTGCAACGATCGGTGAAGATGCACGCACCTCGGGTTTCTTGTGAGGAGCAAGCACGACAAGCCAGTGTGCATTTGCGCTTAGCTCCCAAAGCAACGCGAACAGCTCGGAGGGTGATTCTACCAGGTGCAACGCGAATGAGCAAATTACCATATCCATTTTCGGGGCTGAAGCTTGTGAGTCCGAGACGTCACGAAGGGAGTTAAAGGATGAAATGACGAGCGGTAAGGCACCCTGTGCGATCTCCATGAATGTAAGGGGTGCACAAGGCAACGTCGTACGTTCTAGGTATGCCTCAACTGTGTACTGGTGTTCATCCCCAAGTGAGGATTGTTATGGTCATTTCATCGGGGATCCCACACTTACTGGATCGGCGGCCATGATGTGAACGTCAGGTGGGTGTTGAAAACTACTCGGATTCGAGGTACCGCTTGAGTTTGCGCCGATGTTTCCCCCCAAAGGGGGGGCTCGGCTCTTTCGTTTCGAACCTGCGCCTTTCCACCATTCGTACGCAGCGACTGTGACTTCTCCACTATAAATTACTAATGAGTATCGACGTTTGAGACAGGGGAGATGGGTTGCAGACCTGCCTGACGAACGACGTTGGGTTGACCATGGAAATATGATGATAGACGCGAACACTTACCACATGCCATGTCAAATATCAGGGGTGGTCTCGTTCTAACGGTTCCACGTTCATGGGCCCACCATCTGAGCGGAAGATCAGAAAGCTGTCTTCCTATCTTTACTCACGGGCACGCACCTATCAAGCCAAGTGTATAAACAGGCGCGAACGCCAGGGAAATGGGGGTTTCGATATGTTGCTCCTACCTATTAGGATGGGTGGTCGAGTGGTGATGTGTGGGCTCGGTACTGTCATACGGACCTTTCTGTAGTACTACGTATGACATGTGAGCAAAAGTGCAGATCTATCTGATAGTGTTATGATTATCGCGTACGTTGTCGACGCCGTACTGATCATAGTTTGCTCGCATGGAGAGTTGGAGGTTTCCCAGTGTCCCACTGATACGGTGGGACCGATTGCTGTCGACCATCATCTCTGAGGGAGAATCGCAGTTTTGTGCCACGTTCCTCTACAACACAACCAGCCGCCGTACCTGGACTGATGTGGGAAACAAGAAAGGGATTAACGTCATGTCATGATGGGCCTGAATTAATATTGAAACAGTAGGCGGTACCAGTGATTTCACGCCTGACTTCCCGTCGATGATATCTCCAACTTTCAAGCAAGAATCTTCAGTATTTGGGTACTGTGGAATGGGACCACTGATAGATGCCGTGGGAATTTCCAGGAAAGGAAATGCCGCTGAGCGGAGAGTGGCGATGCCGTGGGAACTTACGGACCGACAGCTTGTGCTGCCGTCTCTGCTCTCCTCCCACTGCACAAGGGTCCGAACCAAGTTTGGAGATCCCCTGCACTGTCTACTTCCGCCCTGGCTTTGCTCTGTCTGACTACCTACAACAACACATTGCGCTACGCGGTTCACTCTGGAACGAAACGATGCCACCAAATGTCCAATTATCCCTCTCCAACTCGCAGGTGGGAAGAAAGTTCAAGAATTTCTCAGTCATAAAGCGGTTCATACGCGATGCAGACGCGCGAGGCGTGGATGTCGATGTGGTCGCTGGACGACTCTAGTCTGTTTGTGTCTCCCACCTATCATCTTATACTCTATATATACAACAGAGTAAGAACGAGCCCAGAGGAACACCAAGCTTGTGCGTGCTCTGGCTGGCTGACTCGTGCTCAAACCACAGCGTGAGGGTGGTGGGAGTAACGTATACAAGGAAGATATACCACCGTTTTTAGAGATGCTTCCCGTGCAAGATCGGGAGGCATGGACTGCTATGCAGTTGATTCTCCCTCCACGGGGCGTAGGGCCCCACCTCATTCGCGTTGGGGGGAACTTCAGGACCGAAAGGAGGGAACAAGGCGGTCCGCTCCGAGATGATGATTTCCGAGTTGAATATCTTCGGATGGGCTTTGTTGTCTCGCGAGACTGGTGTGCGTGAATGAGGGATGCAGGGTGGTTAGCGAGGACTAAAAGTGTAGAAAGTAATGAAGGAGGTGTTGCTGGTAGGTCTTCTGTCTTGGATTCGGTCGTCCTCGTAGATGGGTAAGTGATGCGATGCGAGATTGGAGAATGCGATATCATTTGCCTGAGGCAATCGCTCTGGAAATTTTTTCATGCCAAGTATGTTGGTCGTATGACCTGCATAAGTCCCCCCTAACGTTGGTAGGATTGCTAGGGAAAGAGCGACACGGCGAGGCAACCCAGGGTACACATCGTAAATTTCCGTGAGTGGCAGCTTTGGAGGATGGACCGCATATCATCCTTACTGGTCACGATGCCTAAACTACATACTACCATATATAGCTCACATATCAACCCCTGTTTGAACGCCTCTCAGATTTCACACTCAAGATCACGAGGGACGGGCTCATTAATGTGTGATATGGGTTTGAATACATCCAAGAACGCAGAGTTATCGAGGCAATACGCTGGTGCCGCAAAGAGGGACAGTAGGTATGTGATAATGTGCGGTAAAACCCCAAGAGTTAGTCGCATGTCAAGGTCAAAGTGGATAAATAAATTAGGGAGAGGCGGCAGACATGAGTGGGGATAAGATGGTATCAACTCCACGTTTTTTCGGATCCCTGTTCTGAGGAGATGTGTGTGTCTGACATGCCAGAGGGTGCGTTGCTCATGCATCCATCGGTCCCATGTAGACCCCACGTTCTCTGAAGAGTAGTACCCCAAGCTGACTACTTCGACTGTCGTTAGAAACTGGGTGGTCTGGCGTGGTCGGTCCGGCGTGGTATAATCATCGTCCTCATCAAATATGGTCGAGGGGGAGTGGCAAGCTGAAAGGCCATAACGGTAGAGGAACGTCACGAAAACGAGTAAGTTGCACATGATGCTAGACAATGCGACCTGAAAGTCAATAAAATAAGTAATTTATTGGATTGATTAGGGAATACATTTCATGGTATGTCCTCACCTCAACATCCATGGCTAGATTGATAATCAGACTAAGGTCCAAGAGTTGACATGTGGCACGGAAAATAGCAGCGAGCGTGACCATGATGCCCGAGGCGAAAATCAATAGGATCATCCGTCGCTGTCGAGTCAGTAGTTTGACGCTCCACAGGAGCTTTATGGGCAGAGTAATAAGGATTGCATCGGTGACGAGATCAGCTGCGTAACGTTGTCAGAGGGGAAGGTAAGCAATGGGTATTGACGAGTTAAACTCACTCGTCAGTTCAAAGATAGCCAACCTAGTGCTCAAAGGGAGGAGTGGGTTTCCAAAGAACAGCGTGTTGTTCGTCCAGCTCAAGTCATAGCAATAGTACCACAGTTTTCCCGCCATGAAGGAGATAAACAACAGGAAAAATACCAAGCCTATTCCCAGCACCATTCTTCGCAGTGTCAGGGACGGATTGATAATTCGTGCCACCGAGAATAATGTACTGTGGCGCACGAGCCTTAAAACGATTATATCAGATTTGCAGTGGTCGGAGACAAACTACGTCGTACCATATCACCGGGTTGAATGAGAAACTGGATATCCAAAACCCGACCGTCGAGGTCGGTTTCTCTGGGAATCAAGTCAGACCAGTCCTCCGAAGCACCAAATGTGTTGTGTACCACAATGCACATACAACCAAGTTCCCATTGGGTAAATGATCGCGAAGAGGAAGGCGGCAAACGTCCAAGCGTCTTCCCACCACAGCCGTTGTATTCGATACCGGAACCAGAACCGAAAGACGGCCAACAGCAATCCGATCATCTGCAGAACCGCTATTCCCGCTATTAATTGTATGCTTGATCAACTAGGCTTGGTGAGGAGAAACACGGCAGTCAATGCAACTTACTGCTTGCTTTCTGTACCACAACTAGGCTCACCTCTGGGTTTACCATAATGTACAATGCAGCAGGGAAGGTGAGGGGAAGAGCGGGGGACATGGACCCTGAGTCAAAACAGGCAGAATTTAATGCGGCTGCCAAGTTGACAGCCTACAGGCGCTAGACTCAGTCAGTGCTGAGCGTCTAGGACCTGGCAAGCATGATAGCAATGCTGCCTGTGACGAAAGCATAGTATGTAATGATGACTCCCCATGTCCAACCCATGACAGATGTTACTTACGGACGGCAGGGTGAAGTCGAGAGCCCGCAACCTGACTCTCCATACTTCAAATTGCGAGTCCAATATCAGACGGAGTTCAGACCTACAATGTGCGATAATCCTAGCATGGGCATTACAACGAACTCGGTGTCACTGAAGCGAAAGCGAGATTGCTCTCAAAAATTTCGCCCAGTACAGCGAGTATCAGCAGCGCAGGTAAAGTACTCAATGTTCAACATTCACTCGAAAATAACTGTTTCAATTGCCTTGGAGGTGCAGTAGAAAGCTGCTCTTACTGTAGCGTGTGGCAGCATGGCAGAGGCCGCAAGATTTATGTAACATGCAATCCATTCTCCCCGCTTCCGAGGGCGACCCAGGTTCCGTCCCATCCTTGCTAGAGGTATGAGAGACTTCAGCTTGCGTTAGGTGGGGTTTGAAAAACTGTCAACCAAATACGTACAAATACACTCTGTCGAGTGACGTACTACTGTACTGTATCTATTAGCAAGGAGCCTGACGGCAACCACATTTGCTGGAGTATGTGTCAGGGTCTAATTCCCAAATGGGATTGTTATGGTAGTGGGTCATCAGTAAATCACTTTTGCTGGCCAGAGCTGTCCAGAGCTGTCCAGCACTGGACAGATTTCCTAGGACTACCAGCTCACAAAGTGGTCTACTGATGGTTCTGAACCAATCTACTTAATGAAGGAATTCTACTGCACGCCAGCCTTAAGAAGCAGGTACAGTATCAATGGCTCCATCAATCACAGGAGAAAGAATGGCAGGGTTCTTTGCAGTAGCCACAGGCCCCCCAGGTACAGCCCCAGGGAACCACCTGGCAAAGTTGGCAGCATGCCACTCATTGGTTGGCGGTTGCAGGGGAATCGTTGCATCGGCGTCGTAGTACTCGATAGCGAAAACAAATCTAGTGTTTTCCGTCGTGTTAGATGCCGCAATATGGTATGTCCAGCACGAGTGGCTATAAGATTTGTGCTAAGCTTGATTCCTGACAGATGGGAGTGAGATACTTGCAACGTTGCATCCCCTGCGTTCATGTGTTGCGCGAGGTGCACGGAAAGGTTTTCCTTCTCGACCAGATTTCTGATATATTCGTCGCTCTCGTCAGAAATCGGCAGATGCTCAGCATGTCTACTGAGGTGTGAACCCGACACAAACGACATAGGACCCATGCTTACAGGGCAATCGATCAGCGGAACCCAAAGGGTTATGGCCTTTTCCATGTCAAGTGGCCTGTCATAACGGGTACAGCTCAATGCACGCTCAGGGCTACAAGCCAGAAAGGGGGTCACTCACCAGTAGTGCCGTCCTGGTACCACGGTGTCCGTTGGCCTTTACCAAGACCGTCCTTGAAGAAGGTGATGTCGTGGTAAATCCGCACGTCACGGCAGCCTAACAGTTTCGCAGCGATTCCTTATCTTTCACCGTGAGCGTGAGGTTGGTGCCTGATCATCACGAACGCACCTACGTAACGCTTGGACAAGACGTGAGCTTGCACGACATTATTAATTTCCCATAGGTTTTGGGTGATGCGGAACGCTTTCTGGAAGTCCTCCTCTTCGGCTTTGAGAGCTTCGTGGGCTCGCAAGACAGCAGTGTGCAATTCAAGGATCTCCGATTCAGGAATGACGTTCCTGAGCAGGATGTGGCCCTGGGCGATATACGTCAGCAAAGGCGGTGCCGTTCAGCACAAGTGGGCAACAGACATTGTTCTGGTACTCGTCAATCTGAGACTGGGCGAGGTCATAGTCCTCAGCGAGTGTGACGTGAGTGTGGAAGACCATATTGGATATTCAGAAGGGTGTAGGCTTTGTGAATGGAAGGGCTGCGTGGTTTCTGATTTTTGATTCTCCTCGACCATCTCTCCAGCTTTTTAAATCTTTAGAAGGTCAAACATATGAATCGATCGGATCCGCTTCTAAACATCTGATACTGCGGCCCCTCTGTCTAAAAATTACCATGTTTTTCTAATGACCGGACCTCTGAATCACTACCCAGTAATCAAGCACTGCGTTGGTGCGTCCGGTATGCCTTGCATACTATATGGATAACCGCGGCACTGTGTCCAACTCCACAGTCTTGTCCGCTTCCATGTACAGAACAGTGCCCGTTCGTTTCAGCAAGGTGTCCCTTGGTTACTTCTGTCACAGCCCATAATCCATAGACTGGCTATCGCTAGTAACCCATAGATTCGGTGGTACGCCACAAACTGACACTGCCGTATGCCGGTGCTCGATGCAAACACACTCGGTCACAACATACACCAACAATTCACTCGAGTAATGCGAGACCGGCGATCGGAGTCGAATTCAAAGCTTCGACGTTCACTATCAATATTCGATCTCCACAACGGCAAATCCGGCATCAGAGTGATGCATCACCGCATTTTGAAACTCAGACTGCACTTAGCAACTCCGCTGGGCTTCTTGGCCACTGCTTGGCCATCCACAAAAAAGTCACTAGCAACGTCGTACGGGTGGCCTAAAAAGTCGCGCTCGTACTGGGAAAATCGTGCACCCTATGTAATTTCAGGACGCGTAAGCAAGTCCTGGTCTGTGAGACGCAAATTTCTTAGGCACGTGATAAGAACCTTATAATACATGTTAAGGGTGGCTGTTCACACTTCCGTTATAAGCCATGCCGCCACCCATGTGTCATTGAAAGATTGCCAAAAATGGGTATTTGTACATAATATTTTACACATTCGCACTATATCTTAGATAAAATATCACATATTTGCTATAATCTAGCCAAACCTGACCATTATAATGGCAAGTGGTCCATTACACGCTGCTTACAATGGGGGCACGTGACAATGGACCAAATAAATTTGCGACATCCTTTGCAACGCTCTCCCGTTCCGGACTGGCAGCCCTGTGGATGTCCGGAGTTAGTCCGGAGGGAATGTTTGGCACGACCCTGTGGGGGGTCCACTTCATTCTCGTATTGGCTTCCATGTGGCCACTGGTGGACCGTTCATTTTCAGACCAATGTGGGTGGCATTGGAACTCCTTGCTTGCCCCTCTCTCGTGACCGAAAGACATGAAACTATCGCATGGGGCGTCGACCCATTGGCTGCCTATCATCCACCTAATTGACTGACTTCCACTCCATCAACTTTGTCCTGGTAGTGACGACAGCGATATCTAACCAACCAAATGTTTTGGAATTTGGACTCATCACACCCAAATCGTTGGCTGGGATGTTACAAGATTCCAAAGCCTGCCCTTGTGCGGAGCTTTCTTCTCTGCTTTCTGTCATTACCCATTTACTGTGACCGCCTTGGTGAATATCATCTACATTTCTCAGTTTTACGACTCATTTTCTCGGCAGTGTGGTGAATAGCATGGAAGAGCCTACCTTGCCATTGCACTTACAAGCTGTATGGGGCCTTGATTCCAGTCAATCTGGTTTGTTGTACCCTCGCTGCTTTCATACCAGCTCTGATCTGTCAGTCAAATCTCATCTGGCTACACACCTTCTGACTTCTTCTTGCAGCGTCGCCTATCACTGGTTGGCTAGTTAACCGAGTAGGAACAGACTACGTTACCGTGCTCTGTTTAGCCCTATATGTAGGTTGTGCCATATCTTTTTGCGTTCTTAAAGTAAGCAAAGCCATTCATAGATTGGTTGAAATTCACGCGTGTTCCAGGGTGGGGATCATGAGCCTACCTGTGTACAAGGACATATTAGCAATAGGCCATGAGCGCCCAGATGCTTTATTTCTCGACCTCAGATACTGTTGTAAGTTCTCCAGGGTGGTACATGCACAACTTTACTGACATGGAATGGGCAGGTCCTGGTGGACTCGAGGAGAGCTGATTTGATGGTTTTCCCGCCCGCGGCATTATATTGTCGGGTATCACGAAAGATAGGGAATCCTCGTCGCACTTGCGTGAACGCGTCGCCTTTGATCATTTGTCAATGACAGAATTCCTGGAGCTAAGTCACTTCCTACTCAGGACGTCAGACATGTGGACTGGCCACTTTATCCCGGGAGATGCTTTCTGTCGCACCTATCACCTGTGGGACCAAACTAAAAACACCGCCTGACCTGTCAACCTTGACGTCGCTCAATCCCCTTCATGGTCACTGCTCCATCATGTATGCGTCATATTCCATGCATATATTCACTGAAGAGCAACAAGTTCATCTCGTATATGCTCTTGCTGGATTGTTGTCTCCAGAACCAGGCTCTTTTGTCACACCCCGCAGAGTTGGACGGAACTGCGGGAAGGAATGGTGTTCGAAAAGGGAAAGGAAAACCAGTGCGAGGCAAGTTTTCCTCATGCGTCGAAGTTTGGACGTCATGGCTTGATCTGTTAATAGGTCGTAGTGACCCGTTACGGCTATATCAAATCTCTGGCCAAGTAGGCTGGTTCTTCCCCCTTTTTCTCGTTTCACACCAAGGGTGTGTTTGTACATGTATTGTCCTTCGGTGGTCAACTTGCAGAGCGCAACGACCGTCGGCAAGTGAGGTACGCAACATCCCAGGAGATTTACGGACGTCCTTTAACTTGAGATCGAACAGTCTTCTTCTATGGCTGTGTTGGGAAAGATTCCAAGGAGGGTCCGATAACTCGCCATTGTCCCCGACGTTGAGAAACGATGGTACCGATCGATCACCTTCTGTGCTTGGTCACAAGCTGACGCGGTTGTTCAAAGTTTCTGGAGGTTTGTCGAAGGTGAGTCTCATTCCCGGTATTGTGCATTCGATGACCCATTATAACACGCGTCGTGCTACTGGTGATTTTCCAAGGGTAATGTGGGGACGATGCATGCGTCTCGACATGTCGGTGACTGACTGGACAGGTATGTCACAAAAAGTTGACTACTGCCGTCTTCCACTGGCGTACCCAACAAATATAACGCTGGGTAATGTGGCACGCCAAACGCCCTATTGCACAGTGTGTTGGATGCGTTCATGTCCGTATGTTCTTTCCAGTCGTGCGGTGCGTAATCCATGCATGAGAAATCTCAGGTTTTGGGGTCGGATGCACGGAACATTGGAAAGATTTCAGTCTCAGCACGCCGGTTGGCTTCACAATCATTCGTTTATTTCATGCATGACTTCCACTTAAACATAACTAGCGTAGCGAACACGCTCGTGAACGTCGCTGAGTACTCCAATTTAGTGGTCATGTAAGGCCTTTGGCTTACCCCACTAAATGCGAACAGATGGGAGACTCCCCATGCGAGTCTGGTGGCTGACCGGACTGGATTGAAATCACAGGGGTTTAAAAGACAAACACCGTCAACTGTCCCCTTAACTTTGACTCCGTCACTTCACTTCACACCACCTACACCCATACATCACAATGAGTATTTTCCGTGTTTTTTGTCATGATAACGCAAGCGAGCGCTTGACGGATAAGCAGGCTAGTTGCTTCCTCCCCTCTGAGTATGATCGCTGACCTCGTCGGCGTCGACAGGGCCTCACGAAGGTTTTGTCCCGCATCGTTCATAAGGCGAAGGGGGGGTCGCGAGCCTCCCTGGACCCTTCAGTCACCCCACACTCTACGAATGGATCCTCGAGTTGCCTGGCTCCCGTTGTCGTCGTCGCACAGCGCGACGCGTGTAAGGCGAAGGCGAACACAACGTCTAGTAATGTCCAACCATCCATTCCCGCGCCTATCGTCATCCGCTATCCGACAATCAGTTCGTCCCCATCTTCAAGTACGACCTCCGAAGGCGTCAGTCGGCCTGTGTCTTATGAATCGGATGACCAAGCATACTCCGTCAGCCACCTCGACGAAGCTTCTCCAGGGGACGAGGATGTATCGTGTGACGTCTCTGATTCCCAATGCGACTCAGAAGTCGAGGATGCGAGAACGTTGACGCCAGAGGAAATGGAGGTGCGCTGTTTGTCGCTGCGGACTTTGGATATTGACCGACGTCATTATAGGCGAGGATCATCAGGTCCCTCATAAACGACACACCCACTCCTGCTCCCATTAACATTGACGTGAACCAGTTCAAGATTCTCAAGGAGCTCGGTCGGGGGGCGACCGGCAAAGTCTTGAAAGTGCGGGACCGCGTAAGCAAAAAACACCTGGCCCTCAAAGTTATCAAAAAGGGCCGAGACGACTGGCTTCCGGACCAATTTATTCTGATGGAACAACAGGCGTTGGTCCGAAATTCCGGAAACAGGCATGCCCTTCAGTTGGCCGCCAGCTTCCATGATTCCGAAAACTTCTACTTAGTCATGGTACGTGGCTTCCCGCGACGCACCACATCTCCGCCATTGACCTTATACAATAGGAGATCCAGACCGGAGGCGACTTAGAACAATTGCTCCGCTCCATGATAATACTGCCGATAGAACTGGCCAGATTCTACGCAGCCGAACTGGTGAGTATTTTGTTCAACCTTTAGCTTAGAGCGACTGACGTGTGTTATGATAGCTCGTCGGACTGCACGAAATACATGCGCGGGGTATTATGCACCGCGACATCAAACCCGCGAACCTATTGATCGACGAAAAGGGGCATTTAGTGATCTCCGATTTCGGTTTCGCCAAGTTATTCGAGGTGTCTGGGGGAACCCACCCTTACGGGTACAACGGCCCGCTGTCTCGGGCTCCGTACCTCGCCGAAGGATGTTGCGGGACCCCCGAGTTTCTTTCTCCAGAGATGCTGAAGGATGCTGAATATGGGTTCTCGGTCGATTATTGGGCAGCAGGCATCACAATATTCGAGATGCTCGTAGGTCACGTGAGTAGGCTGGTGCTGGAAGTGAGACGACCCACTAACCGCATATTGCATAGACACCCTGGCACAGGGCAAGAGATTTGGATGAACTGGTTCATGGCATCTGCCGCACGCAGGTCCCGTCCTATGCCGTGCCGCGCCCAGCTCGTATGCTGCTACTTGGCGTAAGTGAGCGCACCTTGCTGGCAGTGATGCATGCCTGACGTTCGTACAGATGTTAGATAAAAATATAAACTGCAGACCAAGATATAACCAGATGATCACATCTGCATTCTTTGATGGAGTGTATGTCGTGTACCCGCGATTCCATTTCTGTGACTAATCATCCGCGAAACAGGGACTGGGATGCAATTCGTACTGGCCGCGCGCGACCTCCCCGGTTCACCCGAAAAGAGAATAAAGACCGCGGCGCCGATATGCTTGGATCGATACACTTCACACATGGGGAGACATATTCTCCTTGTCGTGATCCTTATCCATGGTATACATGGATGTCCGACTCGATGGAGGAGGACCACAAGCAAATCCCGTCGCGCCTACGTCGGTGCTTCATGGGTTTGAATCGAGCGCAAAGTCTGGTATGTGCAGCGATGCATATACCTAAGCGCTGTACCATGCGCCAAGCCCGTAGACGCAGGTCAAGATTTGTAATCGAGGACTCCGACGTGCCAGAAAGATTGGCACCTGAACATCTTCAGGATTATGTACAGGTCCCAACGACGACTACTGAAAAGGAGTTGGAGGTGCATACGGCCAACCACCAATTCCGAGTGACTGAACCTGCGACGGTGATGGGGTCATCGTCAATCGGCGCAAAGAAGACGTTTAGGAAGTGGATTAGTCGTCTGTTGTGTCGAACACCCAAGACCGTGTCGTTCGAAATTGTCTCTCCACACGACCCGTAAAGTATATTCTCTGTGTGGCCCACCTCAATTCCTTCACCTCCCTGCCTCGTTGCACCCAGATTCTGGCTTTCGCACTCGACAGCCCTGAACATCACCCGTGTTCCCTATGTTTACATTTCTTTCCAACTTCTCTGCCGCCCACATTCCTACAATCCCAGACCACTCTGAATGGTCTCACATCGTTCCGAGCACACATTCTCACAGTCGCCATGATGTAGTATCTATGCTTCCCTGCAATATCTTAGGACTTGCACGGGGCTTGCTCTGCTGCAAACTATTCACTACTCATGACACTCTGACGTGCCAAGTCACTCAATTCCTCTCTTCTTTCCTGTTTTACCAATATTGGACTGCTTCTGGACCGTATGCTGTAGCCTACTTTTTCTTTTTCTTTCTTCCTTCGCTTGTATGGGACTCTTATATGCTCGCACATCAGACTACTGTCAAACTACTGTACCTTGCAAATGAAATGCAACGGGAGATTTCAAATACTTGCTGAATTTCGTGCTCTTACTCTCGTTTCCAAGCAACGCACCCGTCGTACAGGTTGAGGAGTAGTCCACCTGCCACCTGGCGGCTCCAGATTCCCTCAAGGACATTGATCAGCATGCATCCCTAAGACAATAAACAACTCTTTCGCACCCCACAAAAAAGTAAGAAGAACCTCGTGAGGTGGCGCTTTGCGATTATCTGGATAGCGGAGCACCATCTCGCGAGCCTCTTGTTAGATGCGTCCCAGAATTTGACAGACTCCTCAACTTGTACGGCGCTGGAAGACGTTCTCCGAGTCTATGGGATTCCTGGAGCTCCGGAATGTCTCTTGTGCTTTCATGACAGTGGTGTTGAAGAAACCAATCTGCGAATCGTTTGTTTCACCTGGCCAGGTGTGCGCCGGTCTAGGGACGATACTACTGCAAAGGTATCGGGAATGAACCTAAGGGGTTTAATACCATCAAGGTGCTCTGGGCATGCCTGCAATGTTATGGTGACGCACTTGACTCGATATACCCGTAGGAAGAAAAAAGGTGACATGTGGATCAAGACCGGAAGCGGTATGGGCGTGCGTCCAGGTAACAGTAGGACACAAGGCCGGTAGAGTGCCGGAAAGAACGGAAAGTAACCAGTGGTGCGGAACCGGACGTGAGGTGGGGCGGCGGGGAGAATCATGTCAACAGCATTTGTGTGGTCAACGAACTGCCTGGCTGGTAGAAGTTAAGTTGAATGGCCAACAGGATGGAGGCTATGATACCAGGGAGCTTGCCCGTGAGCACAGAGGCAGAGGGATAGTAGGCGGCCAAGCTGAAGACGGCGGAGGAGGTGCAACACGATGAGATGACGAGGGCATTAGGACTAGACCGACGTTGGGGGGCAGGGACGGTGAAGTCTGTTTGGCATGACAGGCTGTATGGAACCATAGACGCCATTCATCACTTCTCATGACATCCTTCATGATCAACGAACATCTAAATCGCAATGTACCCGAGGAATGGAGGGACGGTGGAGGGTGTTCGTTCTGTCGCATCATTTCCAAAGAGCTATCCTCCAATATCCTGTACGAGACGGACGAGGTCGTCGCGATACTCGGTGTGTTTAGCCGGTGCTACGTCATCGCCATCGTGAACTGACTATGTTACATACACGCAGATATACTACCTCTGAGACCCGGACATACTTTGGTGCTACCCAAAGTCCACATACCATATGTAACGGATCTGCCAGCAAATGTTGCAGCTGCAATGGGGGTGGCCGTGTCCAAGGTCGCAAAAGCGGTATCAGAGGGTGAGTTCGTCTGTGATTTGGGGTGATCGATAGGAGCAACTGGGGTGTGGTTTCCAGCCATGCAGAACACGGCACTCAACATCGTATGCAACCAGGAATACGCACAGAGCGTGCCTCATGTGTGTGCATTGTGGTTTTTCTGGTTCAGGCTGACGGATGATCGATCAGGTTCACTTTCACATTATACCTGCACCGGGGTTTGGAGGGTCACCACAGGTAGGTGCGACGCGAGTGATGCCGAGGACGAGGCGGGAGTTGCACCAGCTGGAGTACGAGGGGCGGAGTGAGTTGGACGAGGACGAGGGACGGGAGCTCGCAGAGCGGATACGGGCACGGCTTTGATTGATTGGTAGTTGTATGTAGACTTGTTCGGACTTGCCATGACAGAGGACGACGACACGATCGACGTCGAGGCCGTCCCCAGCGAACAGCCAACGAAAGACACGCGAGAACGCGAGCCAGGCAAGTCGGTTCTGCCGTTGTCGAGGGTGCAGAAGATCATCAAGGCAGACAAGGTGTGTGTACTGCACTACATCGACGACGACGGTGACTACGACGACGGGTCTGTGCGTGCGCAGGACCTGCCCATGGTTGCACGGGATGCGGCGTTTCTGATTTCGATGGCGACCGAAGAGTTCATCAGAAGACTCGCCCAGGCATCGCAGAGGGTCGCCGAGAGGGAGAAGCGGGCGACCGTCCAGCAGAGGGACGTCGGTGCGTCGTCCGTCCCGCTCATCCAGCTCCACGCTGCTCACAACCAGTGCACCAGCCAACGTCACTCGACGTGCAGAGGAGTTCTTCTTTCTCGACGGTGAGCTGGTCGCTGCATGCACTGGGCTTATTACAATCTTGTCATCGCATTCCAGAAATCATATCGGGGCCTCAGCCCACCACCGCGAAAAGAAAGCCAAAGGCTCTCCAGGCAGAACAGAGCGGTGAGCCCGAAGAACCAACGCCGCTGGACAGGTTTATGAAGAAGACGGATGTGGTCATGGACGAGGACGGTCTCATGTACGCTACTTAGTAGTTCTAGTCAGTACCACTACCAGCTTCGACCGCGACATCCACGACACTGGTAGACATATGAAGGTCATTGCTACTTATTATCCCCCGTCGTCTGTCCTAGATTCAGCCAAATGCACGCTTGCAGACGACGACGGATCTGAGTTCTTGCTCGTCGCCAAATTCAACAGAGTCGACGTCTACGCGATACGACCAGACGGCCTCCACCACCAGACTGGAATCGAAATATGGGGCCGTGTCAGAGCCATCAGAACAGTCCCAACACAGGTGCGTGCCTCTGAATCCACGACCACGCCGTGCGTTTGACAGACAGTCGACCATACGTGTGGTTTAGTACCGGGCCATCAGTGCACTCGTCCTGACAGATCACCCGGAGCCAGAGCTCATCTTTCTCTCCTTGACCCAGTCTGGGACAGTCCTCACGGTGACCAAGCGTCTCTCCCTGTTCGAACGCAGTTCGCGTCCGGCGGAGTTCTTCCATGGCGTCCTCGTCAGCCCCTTCGGAAAATACGCTGTCGCGAGCGTCTATACGGCACGACTGCGCATCGTCTTGCTCGACGCCGAGGGGCAGTACGACAAGGACTTTGATGCTCCGTGGGTACCACCACTTCCTTGCTCTCGCTCCTCGATGTAATGCCGCTCTCCGCGCAGGACCAAGGAACTTAACTTGCTCAGCATCGCATTCGTCGCCAAAAACACGCTGGCACTGCTTCATGTCGACTATCAGCAGCGGTTGCAGCTTCTTGCCCGTGACATCAGCTCTAGCGACTTCCAGCTTTCACCAGCGGCCTCTCTGCTTCTTCCTCCCTTCGCGCTCCCGGAGGATTGGTTCTCTACAGAAGAGCATCCTCCTCGTCTCGTACTCGTCCCACCCGACCAAGATGAGGGTCATGACTTCAATGGTGCCGTGTTGGTGGTCGGAGGACGCAAGATTCTCCTCTATGACCTCGCCTCCAACGATGCTGCAGCGCACAACCACAGCAAGGCTCTTCGGATGGAGAAAAAGAAACGCAGTGTCGATGCAGAAGAAGCGAGCAGGGCAAAACAGAAGGAGAAAGAACGTGAACGATTTAAGAAAAAGCCGCGTGCAACGGTCGATTGGCCGTGGTCAGAGGTCACAGCGTATGTATACACACCCTGTCGTTGATGGAACTTGCATCGCTCAAGCGGATATGCATCAATAGATTATGCACACTGGATGAAAGCCACACAAAATTCCTCATCGGTGACAAGTATGGCCAACTGGCAATGCTGAACGTTGACATTACCGAAGGATTCTCTTTGACCCTCATCGCTCTTGGAGAGGTGGGTTTGTTGACCAGATCTTTTGACCCTCGCAGAGCTAATGAATGCTGGAACAGGCATTCCTCACCCACTACTCTGACGTACCTTACCAACCAGGTCATCTACCTCGGCTCTCACTATGGCGACTCCCAACTCCTACGGATAAGCCAAGCCCCCGTGTCCAGCCTGAATTCTCCTACTCTCCCTGTTCCCTCATCAGTACGAACCATCCGACCAGCTGAACTGGGTGCATTGGGGAAGAGGCGTGCCACCGACGTTGCAGATGGTGTGGTTGTCAATGGTTCGGGCAGCCACTTGGCCGAGCTAGAGAGATTCACCAATCTCGCTCCAATCGTGGACGCCGTGCTAGTAGAGATCGACAACACCGGTCAGGTGGGCGATTTGCCATGGCTGCCCATATCATTTCATGCTTACGCGCGTTTATAACAGAAAGAGATTGTCACATGCTCGGGGGGTAGGAACACAGGCTCTCTCAGAGCTGTAAGACGGGGTGCCGATTTCAAAGAAGCCGCCATCATAAAAGGTGTCACCGGCGTGACCAAGGTTTGGACCCTTCGTCAGAAGTACAGCGATAGGTGCGTCGTTGCTGCGCTACGCAACACTTGCAGTAGATTGACTCATTTCTCGTTTTCATATGTATAGTGAACACACTCATCTCGTTGTGTCCACCCTTGGCAGGACGCATGTTTTCCGCTTTGACGAGGCGCGAGGCCGGGTGGTGTCCAGCTTACCAGAGATGCCGTCTGGATTTGAGACGTCGACCTGCACACTCGGTGTCGCTAACGTCATGCGTCTTACTAAGAAGGATAGCTCATTGATATATGACGAGCATTCTTCTTTGGTGATCCAGGTCGTCCCAAAAGGAGTTGTTCTTCTGGAATATAATCTGGAGGCGGGACAGTTTACGCGCAGAAGCGAACTTCCCCTTGACAAGATCAATGACCGCAATATCCTACCTCAGGCGTTGTCAGGGCAAGAGGTCGTGGCTGCGGACATTAACGCGTCTCAAGTAATCCTTGCACTCAAGTATGGCTGGATGTTACAGCTCGCGATCGTGGATGGCCAGTTTGCATCGCAGCGGAGTCGACAGCTTTTGGACGAAATCTCTGCCGTCTCCTGTGTCCCGCTGAGTGGTAAAAGCTTCGCGAAACATACGACTCATATTGCTGTATCGTTTTGGAAGTCGGATCACGTCAAAATCGTGAAGCTTCTCAGCCCAAGAGAGGCTGCAGCCTCACTCTCGGATTGCCTCATCGCGGATGTGTGTGCGTCGGAACGGCTTCCTGCTGCACCGCGATCGCTGCTGCTGCACGCCTTCGGTATTAACGGAGATGATAAGCAGACGCACCCTCACCTTCTTGTGGGCCTGGTCGATGGCACTGTCGTCTCATTTGCATACAAGGACAATGCACTCGTGGACATGAAGCTGATCTCTGTTGGCGTGCTGCCTTTGTCCTTGCACCCGGTTGTAGTCAATGGAAAGAGTGGAGTAGTGGCATGCGGCAGTCGGGCGTCTGTATTAGGCTGGGAAAAAGGGAGACTTGTGCACTCACCATTGATGATCAAGGCTAGCATTCCGTCTGTTTGCCCAGCTAGTAGCTTCTGACCACCCGCCAATAGGACGTTAACGCTGCTGCTTACGTGAATACGAGGGCGTATCCTGCGTCCGTGGTCCTTGCGGGTATGGAGTCTCTTGTGATCGGAGCGGTGACAAGTTTCGAGAAGATCCATGTGCGCTCGGTGAGTTTGCCGATAAACTCTTGTGGTCGATGTCTCATAGGGACAGGTTCCTCTCGGGTATGACTCTCCACGATGCATTGTCCACTGCCCGTCATGGAAAGCCTTTGCTATTGCTTGCCTGCGCATGATGCCTGCTCGAGTCAGTGAGGTTGAAGGCGAAGTGTTCAATTCATCGGTGCAACTTTTCAACGAGACCACGTTTGAGAGTCCGTCGTTGTTTTTGGTTTCTTTTCTTTTGCCGAATCTAACTACTAAATTTAGAGATCGCACAGTTAAATGTGAAGAACAGCGAGGATGTAACTGCTCTTCATTACCTGACGGTTACGCTGGCCGGTCAGGTTATTAACTTCGTTTGCGCGGGGGTGACAGTTTACGATTACCACGAGCGCGAGCCTTCGCAAGGTCGCGTCATTTTGCTGCAGAAATCAACAGGCAACAATCTCGCTGCTACGCAGGCGCTGACCGTTACGATAACTGCAGACGTAAAGGGGTGCATATATGCGCTTACCTCGGTGGGCGATACCATCGTCGCAGCCGTTAACAGTTCGGTACGTTGCCTAGTTCGTTGATTGGACAGGTGTATTCAATTGTTGTCACTTTTTTGACAATTACATAGCTCGTCCTCCTTCGCATCCAATACGCAAACAAAAGCATATCGTTGCGCGAGGTGACCGTATGGAATCATAATTACCTGATTACGACGCTTGTGTCGTATGGCGATCTGCTGCTCGTCGGCGACGCCCTCACATCCGTTTCGTTGGTCAAAGTGAACGACTCGCAGGTAGAGCTGGTCGCCAAAGACTATGGTTCGCTGTGGCCCACGTGTGCGCAGTTGCTAGATGAGAAGAGTCTCATTGGGGCGAATGTGAGTTGACTAAACAGGATGACACTGTCTTTTCTGTGCTAACGACGTGTGTAGAGCGACTACAACATGTTCGCGTTCCGTCTACAAAAGACGGAATTACAAAAATTGTTGGAGAGAGAGGGCCATTATTTCGTCGGCGACATCGTTAACAAGTTCGTGCCAGGTAGAGTCTGTGTTTGTTCGGATGTACCGTCCATGCTTAACCGGTATTGTACACAAAAAAGGCTCGCTAGGATTTGTCTGAGGTGTCAGCGGACGTTCCATTGCAGGCTCAGCAACTGTTCTTCACACCTACTGGACAAATCGGCGTCATAATCAACGTGGACGAGGAGCTTTCTTTGCACATGACTGCTTTGCAGAGGAACTTGTCGACTTACTTCGAGCGCAAGGAGGGAGTAAGCCATTCTAGGTGAGCAAGTTCCTTCCGGGTCTCATTGGTCATGTCAATTAGTACTGTGTGGCTGACTGACGCTGGACAGGTTCCGAGCCCCCAAAAACAACTGGGGCAGAAGCGATTCTGAGGCGTCGTCATTTGGCTTCCTCGACGGAGACTTCCTAGAACGGTTTTCGCTGCTAATGGAGGACCCACGAGCGCTCCGTCAAGTGATGGACGGACAAAGCGAGCCTGAGAGATTAACAATCTCTCCTCAGCGGATCCAGAAGGTGCTAGAGCGGTTGCAGAGTATGCATTGATGCAGTAAATTGGTATCAAATATGGAACATGGTCCTGGAAAAGAACATGTAATTGTATCGTGAGACGTCATGCAATCTGTATTGGATAACGCATTGTTCAAATGAAGACATTTGGCTACATATAGCCAGGATTGGGAGGGTTAATAATTAAAAAATCAACTGCGAATGTATGCCCAGGTTTGGGTGATAAGGGATGTAAGAGGCACATCCCAGTGAATGCCCAAGCCTTCCTGGTCGGCCGACAGACGTGGCGCGAAGTAGAATCCTGATACGAGGACAAGATAACTGTAGGCGGCGAGTGCTCAATGGTAAGTAAAAGTGAATCAGTTTCGTAGGTAATGACATACCTAAGTATGAGGATGCTCCCGCGGTGGTAATTGCTCTTGGCCTCGATGTAGGTATAAGTCATCAAGAATACGGAAAGAATGATGACGACAGCGTCCCAACGAGGGAACACGAGACTTTTACGTTCTTCAGCCTAACTTGGTTCGAGGGATCAATGTGATAGGTTGACGTACGTGAACGTGTAACCAATCTCTCCCATCTTCTCTGGCGCATACCACGCAGAGAAGGCAACCATAGCCGGGATCTGAAGAAGACAAACTTGGAGGGCATACGCGGAACCGATTTCCATACTACGAAATAGCAACGCGATGTCAGAGCGTTTCACGGGAGATCGAGAGGAGATAAGGACTTGCGATACGTACCTCAATGCAATATTGGCGTTGAGCGCAAATGAAATAGCATTCATAAATTCTGTGGTGTTCGGGACCAATGCGAAAAGAGTGATACCCAAGAATTTCTCCTCGACACCATAGTCTTGCAATATGACATCGACGACACCCACGAGAAGCTCTGTTTAAAGATCGAGCACAGTCACTTTTTACTTCGACAGTCGCTCAAAAATGCTCACCAGCTATAACTGCGTAGAGCGCAGTGCATGCAAGTAGGACACCAGCGCTAGTAGTCCTACTCCACTCTGGTGCTTCGTGCCCGGCAGGTCCCGACGCACCCTCGACGTCATGTCCTGCAGCAAGTTTCACTCGAGCGGGAGATTGCGCTTGAACAGCTTGCTGATGTCTGAGTGCACTGACCTGTAGCCACTGTCACGGCTCGCGTAAAGTCATCATGGGTACATATTTTCAGGAAGCTGCGCAGGGTGGAAATTGTGAGTTCTTTAACGCCATATCTACGCTCTCTATGATGGGTGTAATGTTCTGTATTGCGGGCTGGACGCGTCTAAGGGACGGCGATACCGGAGGTCGTGGTGAACTAGGTTGCTGTTGATATTGTTGTGGGTATTGTTGCTGTTGCTGTGCACCTGGTTCAACTGGTCTGGGTACTGGGGTTTGAGAGCGGGATTCAACGTCGCCGTCAGCATTGGACACGATGCTCCGCCTGTGACGAGGTCCAGTACTGGAGGAGTATGACATCGGATGTAATCCGCGCAGATGCCCGGATATACGATTAAGGTTTGGGATTTCTAAAGGTTGCAAGAGCTGTCGAGGTTTCTGCCATATTTGAGAGGCATGGGTCCGGAGGGAGAACCAGAGGCCGATGAGGTAAGACTGTGCGAGACATAAGGTTAGATCAAGGGAAACGACTGTTAAGGAAAAGACTCACGAAGAGAAGGACCACTGCACAGAGGTACATCAAACTCTTCACCGTCGATTGGTAGAAGGGATCGGTGGCAGGATCAGGATGCTGATAATAACAATGGTCGCACTTCCAGTCGGGGGTATCTTTGCGCCGCGGGCCATCAGGACACCCCGTGCAAATGAGTTGGAACTTGGATACGTGAGATAAAGGACCATAAAAGATAAACACGACCAAGTACTCACGTTGCCATATATTTGATAGAACAACGTCGGTGTAAGAGTGCCAATGAACGCCATGATTAACATCATACTTGTGACGCCAGCGCTCTTCGCGTTGAATTTCTGCTCCTTTTGCCTGAATGCGGCAGCGCACATACTCACCCCAGGCATGAGAAGGACGCCAGCCAGTAAACTGCCCACGATCGAACCTTCCACGAGATGGCCCTTACCCTGAGTCAGGGCAATACAGTATAGCATAATTTCGATCACGGAACCAAAAGTCGCATTGATGACGGCGCCCATTCCAATAGACGACTGTGCGGAGATGGAGGCAACGGCCATTCCAATGAAGTACGATAGTGGGATCACACTCGCCAAGCACATGAAGAAAATGACAGCACGGGAAGCGATAAGCAAAAGCAGCGCGGGGGCGGGTTTTCCTATTTCTTCCCTATGCTCCACGTAAGGAAGAAGCACAAACCCATCGAAAATGACGAAAAACACGAGGGGAAGGAGGTTAACGAAGATGATGTTGACACCGCTAACGGTGTACTTGAAATATTCCCGTCCTACCGCCCGATATACACACAGGAGCACGGTTGATTTGTCTGAGCCAGTAACAGAGGGAGCAGCTTGGCCCTGAGATAACCGCGGGTGCTTGACGGAGAATTCGACAGGGCGTTGCGAGTTCGTGCTAGGTTGTTCTGTTGAGAGGGTTGCAGAGGCAACAACGACAGCAGGAGGTGGAGCGCAAAACCTGAGACGAGTTGGGTTAGCGAACATATACTTCGTCAACGCCCATATGAGTTTCGCCATCGGGATTGTGATGATCATAAGCCCAGCATGCGATACAAGTCAATAACATCAGGGGTGCGACGACAAGACAAAAGGCCACCCAAAACGCAGCACGACCAACCCAGTCATCAGAGACCTTCTGATATCCGTCCGGCGAAGGTAAGGGTGATGGCGTCGCTCCATAGGACTTGGACGGCAAGAGTACAGATGTCGGCAACAAGGGCGCGTTCTCGGTGCTAGGTTGATGAACGTCGCCGATGCGGGTAGACGAGGGTCCTCGATCAGCTGTATGAGGAGTGATAGTAGACGTCTTGGATAACGAGCCGTCGAGAGAAGCGATACCGTCGCCCTCTTCCGCGACAGGGTTCTCTTCATCGCCGCCTTCGTCTCTGTCCCCCTCGACGTATTTACCAAACGGCCAGCCAAGATACCAGCCAAGGCCGAATAAGAGAGTAGCATATCGACGACCACCGAGCGGCAGCATGTACAAGATGGCAGAAACAGTGAAGCAAGCAAGTGCTAACCACCACCCAAAGCACACGACCCAGAATATATTTCCGGGTAGTAAATGCCGCTCAGCCTGCGCAGACGGGATGGCATGGAGTGCCGCGTCCGCGTTGCGAGTGATAGACCTCGACTTTTTGTACAGTGCAGGTTTCCATATGCGAAGACCGAACGGATGTTCGACGTTAATGAGAGATTGACGGTCTTTTACGGTGATTGGATCGTCATCGTCCCGCGCTGTTTCGTCGTCTCTTTCTGGGTCTTCGTCTTCGTCGGGAGAGTCGTTGGCTACGGTCTTTCCGCGTGCACGATGGGCTGGCTGTATTTCCTGGCGTATCTCTTGTATGGCCTCGTCAGCGTCCTCGTCTTCTTCACTAAGCATATCTGCTTCCCAAACAGTCCTACCAGGAGCAGCCCGCGAACTACCTTGGCTGCTACTCCTAGGTCTGTGCTTGGATGAACTGGCAGACATATTCCTTGTTGGATAACTGAAAGATTGCCTAGAATGGGGAGACGCTGGGCGCTGCGGAAGTGGAAAGTGGGGCGTGCCTTGGCTCTGACTCTCGCTGTATGAGCTGTGGCTGCGACTGCGGTGAAGGTTGGGCGTGGGTTGGACGTGCGTTGTTGGCACGGGCGTCGACGGCAGCAGATAAAAGTACGAATCGCCGTCAAAGCCACTGCCAGCTGGTGGCTGCGGGTTTGTGCTCATCGTTGCTGCCGGTGACGAGCCCCCGTCAATTAATATGCCAGAGCCTTGGTGACGGACGGAATAGGCAACCATATCCCCTTTGAGCACCCCCCCTTCGGTCGCAGAGAAACCCAAATAAAAAAAATTAACACCCATCTTGTAAAAAAAAACATGCAAGGCATAAAGAATGGTATGGCTGGTATACAGTACAGGCAACAGTCCCAACCCCTCACTTCCTCAGCAGTTTCTCTCTCAACTCTGCACCCTTGAGCTGGGCGCGGAGGTACTCCAGGCGGTCTTGGTACCGAGCCGTCACTTCTTGACGTCGCCGCCGAATATCCACCAGCTCAGATTCCATAGCCGAAATCTCAGAGTCTTCGTCGATCGACACCACGGAGTGTGGAGCTAACGACCTTGCGAGGTTCACACTCGACACGCTCCCCAGATCACGTAGCTGTGGTTGCGTCAGGGTGGGGGATGCCGTGGTTGGTGATGCCCAAGCCCCCGATGATAGTGACGACGTGGACCTCTTGCGATTAGCTACAGACGGGGAAAGGAGTGGTTTGAGTAATGGGTTAGGTCTGTGCGACCGCGGTTGCGATACACTGGTCCCGTATGATGTCGAGGATCGCAACGACGAACCATCTGCATCTGACGCATGATACGGAGTACCCCTTCCCGAAGGGCTTGTTCCATTTCCATGGAAAAATTCATGCTCGATATTGCGTCGCGCAACAGAAGACGGCGACCGTAACGGTGAATGACCAGGTTTGTGATGACTTCTTGTCAACACAGACAACTCTACGCCGTTGAATGCGTCAAGAACCCGCATGGCTTCCGCCTCCATTGCTTCGATCTCATGACGGAGACTTCGAGACGTCTTCACCTCGTCGTCCTGCAACGCTTCACTGGTGAGGATGGAATGTAAATGCTTTGGTTCAGGCGTGCGATTTGGGAAGGATGATGGAGGAGAGTCCAGCCGTCGCACACTTCGCGACATGGAGCGATATGACATACTCTCCAGACCCCGGTGATGCTGCGCCTCGCCATCAAAGGATGGCGAAGAGACGGCACTACTGGCGGCGATTGTTTCCACCCTTGACGACTCGTCGTTCCTGGGCTCCCGGGGTATACCCCTTCGTCTGAAGGCGCTCGGCGCGGCAGAGAAAATGCTAGACGTCTCACTCGAAGTGCCTTCTCTGGAAATACCGCTTACTCGACGGGTGCTGCGTCGAAATAGGTTAGACACGACGGAGGAAACAGATGCTTTGGAGCGGACAGATGGCGTCCGCCCCGCCTTGACACAAGACTGTGATGAATTGTTCGGAAGCTGCGGGGAATCTAATAACAAGCACGCCACACTGAGATTCATACGATACATAGGGAATAAATCGGGATCACACTTACGCTTCTGACTGTGAGAGCCAAGTGGGATCACTGGGCTCTCTGTTGGAACGGAACTGTGGCTCGCTAGGCGTTCGAATATGTTTTGCCGTAGCAGACGATACTCGTCGTCACTGGACAAAACGTTAGTCAAGGTCTTATAGCACCAGTCAAGTTGTACCCCATGTAGACAAACGGCAAAATTACATACCTGAGCAGGCTTTCAGCATTGGCAGCAGCCAATTCATTGAGCCGTTGCGCCAGAGTTGAGCTGGATGACAGCACACGTCTGGGATGAAACGAGATGATGATGAGAGGTAAGAGAACGCACGTTATGGCATCTGTGTGGGCGCGAGGCATGGGACGGGGACTAGGGCTAGTATGTCCTGTCGAACGGAGAGGTGAATGCGGCGAATGGCTGAGATCTCTGTTACGATGCGATTCCCGGTCACCGCCTCGTCGCGACGGAGACTTGAGGCCGAACCGTGGCAAGTGGGAAGTAGAGGGCTGCGAAGAAGCCTCCCAGCGCTTGGCTTTGTACATTGTATCATGCTAGCAACGTGGTGAACACCGTTGAGCGCTGACGCCGAGGAAACGCGGAACAACAAAGCACACTCACGAATCGCGAACGAATGACTTGAACCACCGACCTGTCGGGTTCAAGATATTTGGACCCTTCCGCTTTCCTGGCCGAGAAGAAACCCATTTAAGTGTATTTTGTATTTCTTTTTCTATGAATGAGGTCAGTGCCACTAGTAGCGTGATGGCATCACGTCGAGGTTGAGTTGGGTGCCAGGGGGGCTCTGATGTGCCAAATGAGCCAGAAGGACAGCCGACACCCTGTATAGACCCGGGCCCCTCGGGCCGTCCACAAGCACACTGTCAAGGTATTTTCTCAAGTTCACTCACACTTAAAAGGCTGTCTGACATGCTCACGTTTATCCCCAGGAATTCAATTGCTTGTTCGACCCGACGACCAACAGTGCCATGTGCTGGGAAACGTGTAGTTCCCTGCAGGAGACTGCTGTCTGTTGCTACAGGCATACCCCCGCCCTTGGCTGATGTTAGGGTACTTGATCTCACACGTGTGTTGGCTGGGCCAACGTGCACAATGCTGCTCGCAGACTTGGGTGCCGACGTCATCAAGGTAGAGGAATTATCCAAAGGAGACGATACCCGTGAGTCATTTGCACGTCGCATGCTGCTTCGTCCTTTGCTTTGCTAACGGGACGTTAGGTTCCTGGACCCCACCCTCTGCCCCTTTACCCAGGGATCCTCCACCGGAAACATCCCATCTCCCACCAGAAACTGCCTATTTTTTGTCTGCAAATAGGAACAAGAGGTCCATAACCGTGAATTTTAAGCATCGAGACGGACTCGAGATTTTGCATAAGCTCGTAAAGCGTTCTGATGTGTTGGTCGAAAACTTTGTACCTGGGAAGTTATCTTCCATGGGTTTGGGTTGGGAAGATTGTAAGAGAATCAACCCCCGCCTCGTGTACGCTTCAATCACGGGTGTGAAGCTCTTTATATTGCATCCCTCGTCTTCATACCCATCTGATGGATCACGTAGGATACGGACAAACCGGGCCTTATCGACAAGCTCCAGGTTACGACGTTGTAATCGAGGCGGAAGCCGGATTGATGCACATGTCAGCACTGAGTTTCATTTTCTCTGCGTTCCCGCGTACCATTCAATGGCCCCTTGCAGTACTGGCGAATCTGGTGGCCCACCATGCAAGGTTGGTGTTGCCGTCACGGACATCATGACAGGACTCTACGCCCATGGCGCAATCATGGCAGGTTTGCGCTCTGTGAATCAGACCGATCAAGGGGTTTGGATTGATTGCAACCTCTTCGAAACCCAGGTTTGTAGCACTTTTCTTTACGTGCCACGTCGGTGAATTTGAATTAAACCATGGATGTGTAGTTGGCAGGACTCGCCAACATTGCTTCCAATTACCTCATCGCCGGAAATGAAGCATCTCGGCACGGCACGGCGCATCCCTCAATAGTCCCTTATCAAGTTTTTCCGTGCAAGGATGGCTTCTTGATGATTGGTGCTGGGAATGAGAAGCAGGTAACAGACTTAATCGCCACTGACGCCGAGTTAATACAGCTGACGCTCGGCCTCCGACGGTGTCTTAGTTTAAGCTTCTTACTACGAATATATTGCAACAGCCCGAACTTGCGGACGACCCACGCTTTTCGACGAATGCTGCGCGCGTAGCGAATCGTGGAGTGCTGATCGACATTATTTCCGCGGCACTGAAGAAACATGACAGAAGCCACTGGATAGACCGATTCACTGGTATCGGGTGCGTTTGGGTTGGCGACCCATCGAAAAGTGCGATGGTGATTTGGATTTGTACAGAATTCCTTTCGGGCCGATCAACAACATCAGTCAGACATTTTCCCATCCCCAAGCCATTGCTCGGTCATCGACGGTGGAGGTCGAAGTATGTGTTGTTTGCGCCATATTGTTGACGAGATCATATGTCTGAGCGCGTCCTGTGACCAGCATCCACGTGGGGGCAAGGTGCGCATGGTTGCTCCACCTGTGACTTACAACGGCAAGCGCATGCCGGTGCGACGGCCGCCTCCCTGGTTGTCCCAGCATACGGCGGAGGTACGTCAGATGGACCCTGTTTTGGTCCACGGGATGGCTGAATGGAGCGTGGCGATTAGGTACTGCAGGAGCTAGGGTATTCCATAGAGGACATCGGACGCCTGCGAAGCGCACGGGTTGTATAAACCATTTTGGAGAGGGTGAATATTGGCTGCGCCCGCAGAATGAGACGGTGGGAGTGTCTATGGATAGTGATATAATACAAGGTGTCACTATTTGCAAAATCGGACGCAGGGTTGCTCTCGGATGACGGGAGGGAACGGGGCTGAGTGGGTGCTACGTATTATATTAAGTACTGGGTCCGACACCTTGGAAGACTACTTATTATAATACAACAACCGTAGAGTGTCGTCGGTCGTTCGCAGCATCTTGCTGAATTTGGGTCTGCCACTGACCCTGCTCCGACCGCCCATACTACTTATAATTCGTTCCAATTACAACTTATTCGTATTTCTGCCATGGCATTTCGTCCCGTGGGTTCAACGGCTCGTTTAACCCAAAGTTATCATGACGACGTCGCCAAGCGTCCACCGCCATCACCCTCTAACAAAGGCCCCCCGCAGAAGAAGCTCGACGTCAGATTTCGTTCGCTCTTGGACGAGCCCAGCCCAAAGTCTGCCCCAGGCATGTCATCTTCCGGAACCGTTGCAGAGCCATTTCCAGTCAACGTATGTTTTCCCTTGCCATTGGCGGGAGAGTGGCCAGACTGGCCGATGCTAACATGTCCTTGAAGGCCACCAAAGAAATTATCAACAAGGAGACGTTTAGTCAGCTACAAGACCTGGACGATGACGAGACACAAGAGTTCTCGCGGGGCATGGTCCATGACTACTTCAATCAGGCAGAAACCACGTTCTCGGACATGGATTCAGCATTGTACGTCCCAGCATGACTGCGTGTCGCTTATCACTTCACTCTCTCTGTCGATCACAGTGCTGCGAAGGATCTGGAGACACTATCAAGCCGCGGGCATTTTCTCAAGGGTTCGTCTGCCGCTCTTGGCATTGTCCAAGTACAGGCCATTTGCGAGAAGATACAACACCTAGGTAAGCGGACGGATCCTGACAAGGGGACGGATCCCGACAAGAGAGTGGAATCCAAGGAGCCCGAGCTTTCCCGCGATGAAGCACTGGCCAAGATCGAACCACTACTCGCTCGCGTGAAAGTCGAGCATGCTGATGCGGTCAGGTGGCTGATGGAGTACTACAAGGCGCTAGACTCCTGATGCGGGGGCCGCCCAAGGTTGGAGTTCTTGGTGGGAGTGCTGTTGCATTCGGAGACCCCGCTGGACATGCTGTGCGGTATGACGTGCCAACCGAGGGGATAGTAATCTCTCTGTCCCTTGCTTGACCTACGCTATCTTGTTCACCTCTTGATCCTACCGCCTAACATTTACTTTGCCCTTTTTCCTGGATCATGACATGTTTCTTTACACGCGCACTAGTAGCCCCCTACGAGACAAGAATGTATTTTGCTTCCTCCATGTTTAAGCTTTTTGATGCTCCTTATCAACCCCCCGATCATTGCTGGCCAGACACAGATCTTGAACTGATAATATCGGTTGTGATATCTAGCCGAGTGGCAGTTCCAGCGTGTGCATTCTCTCGGGCATCATTCCCTACTAGCTACGTATGTATCACCACGACATGATGGTGGCACTCGACAGCCTCGCGTTGCATACCCCAGATCGATTTCCTGCATTTCCGTATGACTCGCCTTACTCGATCCAGGTGGACCTCATGAGACATCTATATTCGTCCATCGAGCGAAGGCACGTCACTATCGTGGAGAGTCCGACTGGAACGGTGAGCAGTCATGTCCCATAGCTCTCACTCAGCTCGTCCAATTCGGTTTCATGTCAGGGGAAAACACTGAGTCTACTCTGCGCCAGCTTGTCCTGGCTGGCGGACGAACAGCAGCGCGCACGCAAAGGCAAGCTTTCGCAGCACGGTGCTTCCGCAAGCACAGGTGAGGTGGTCGTTCATGTGACATGTCTCCGAACCAAATGAACTCAACTCTACCTCTGGTCGTGTGATCATTGCGGTTCCATTAACCCTGCCACCCTAGAACCCGCGTGGGTGGCTGCGCAAGCCATGCAGATGCGGCAGAGGGAACTCGAAGCCCAGGAACGCGAGTACGAGGAAAGGATGATGCGTGCCAGGAATGCCGAGGCAAAACTACGGGCTTTGGCACGCGCACGAGTCACGAAACGCCGGGTACGTGACGTTCATTTTCAATCGTTCAGGGATGACACCCCGTACCCCCAATTTACTATTCGTCAGCGCGTGATCGTCAACGTGCCACATATCGAAAGGAATGAAGATGCCTTTCTACCCGATGATTCTGATGTGGCAGATGAAGTGGTCAATATATCCCCAGCTGTGCGTGCTCTGATGGCAAAGTGAGTGATCACTTGATCACACTGTAAGTTGGCCATAGATCATTCGATTGTGAAATAACAGGATAGAGAAGAACAGCGGAAATCACACTTGGTCTGAGGGCGAAGAGCCGACATGTACCAAGATTTACTACGCATCGCGAACGCATTCCCAACTGACCCAGGTCCTCCTGGAGCTGCAGAAACTACGATTCCCTCCCATACTGCACAGTTCACTCGACGCGGCTAAGCATTCTGGAACACAAGGGAATGAAGTATCCCATCGGAAGCGTGAGCTTGACCAGGTAGAAGTGGGAGGAGACGATGGGATAGGGCAGCGGCAGTGGCGAACTGTGGCATTGGGGTCCCGGAAACAGCTATGCATCAACGAGGACGTGCGGTCGAAATTTTGGGACCTGGACGAAATGTGTCGTGAACTACAACAAGGTAAGGGTCTTGCAGATCTCCTTGGAGATGCGTGCGCATGTGGGCTTCCGCAGGCAAAGTTGGCAAGCGATGCCAGCATCTGCCTCCGCTGGAGGAGGGCACCAAGATGCTGGATTTCCGGGATCAGATCTTAGTAGGTGGCCACGTGTTGTATGGAGGTATGGCCTGAACAATGTGGGTTAGGCGTTTCCGAAGGATATCGAAGATCTTGCAGCCGCTGGTAGGAATGCGGACACCTGCCCTTATTATGGCTCTCGGAAAGCGATACCCCAAGCTGAGGTAATTTGGACATGCCATTGTTGCAGCGTGGATTGATCGCCGCCCCCCTATAGCTCATCACGTTGCCGTATAATTTGCTCCTTCAGAAATCTGCCAGAGAGTCGCTCGGGATAGACCTGACTAACCAGATAGTTATCATAGATGAGGCTCACAGTAAGGTTATTTTTTGCCGGCGAGCGTGCTTCGGGTCAATATCCATGCAGATTTGATCCCCACGTTGCTTTCCTTGTCATCTGTTAGCGTTACCTCCACAACTTTGGCAATATCGTTGCAGCAAGTGGAAACATATTACAACAAGTTTCGGAATCGGTTTGCGGCGTCGCATGGCCTTCACTTGAGACGGCTTATCTCCTACCTGCAGGCAATGTCGAAGGTGGTGGAAGAGTGGACAGAGACAAAGCAGACATCGACGGAAGTGATGAGCATACCTGATTATGTGCAGAGATTGGGCCGAAAAGTTGATGGGATCAACCTGCTCGAAATCGAAACCTATCTCAGGAAGAGCAAGGTACTTTTCCCTTTTACTGGATTGTCGACTACGTCACTTCACCATCTCAGATTTCCCGGAAAATTTCAGGGTACGCTGAAGCTGTTGCCACTGAAGTCTTAGACAGTAAGTTTCATGTGTTCCATTATTCCAAATCGACCTCAAGGAGGTCATAGTAGGTAACCACCGGAGCCACGTACCAAGAAAACTTCTGCCACTCCAAGCAGTGGAAGCGTTCATTCTGGGCCTTTCCGGCACCCGTGAAGGTAATCAGTTACGGTTCCATATGGGAGAGATGGCTTTATATTGGAGAATACAGACGGGCGCATCATATTCTCGAGCATAGGCAAAGAAGGCAATTCTGAAATGGAAATGAAATACCTCCTTCTCAACCCGTCGACCACCTTTCGTGAAATTGTCGAATCAGCTCGATCAGTTGTTCTTGCGGGCGGTACCATGTCCCCGGTAAGTTCACTGATACCTCATCATTTCCTTGTAACTGACGGATCTGTAGATGTCAGGCGTCATTCGTCGTCTCTTTCCTTCCCTCCCCCAGGACAGAATGACCACGTTTTCCTGTGGTCACATCATTCCTCAATCGCATGTCCGGACCTTGATACTGACCAAAGGTCCTTCTGGGTCACTTCTGGAATTCAAGTATGCACAACAAAGCAACGTGCAGGTACTAAAGGAACTGGGGCAAGTTGTCCTGAATCTATGCAACATCGTGCCTCGGGGGTTGATTGTCTTCTTTCCATCATATTCTTCATTAAACTTTGCGAAAAAGATTTGGAGAGCCGATCGTGCGTTGGAAAGATTTGAAGCGAAAAAGAAAGTATGTCGCTGGTATGATTCTTCGGTAGGTTGAAATCGTCGACACACTCGTTGCAGGTGTTCTGGGAGCCAGAGGAGAGCAGTGCTGTGGAGTCGACGCTTGGTGATTATGCTGAAGCGGTACAGGGTTCGGTGCGTCTCCGTGGCAGTTTCGCAGTTGATGCCGTTTATTCATAATCGATGGAGTCCGCTGACAGATCTAACAAGAGAGCTGGTGCTATTTTGTTTGCCGTCGTAGGCGCTAAGCTTTCGGAGGGCCTGAATTTTGCGGATGACCTCGCGCGAGCGGTGGTGGTCATGGGACTCCCCTTTGCAAATAAGAACTCGCCTGAACTGCAAGAACGAATGCGCTATGCAAATGAAGCGGAGATGAGGTTAGGAAGTAAGAGGGATCCCCATTCAAAGGACGCGGGTTCAGAGTTGTACGAGAATATGTGTATGAACGCCGTCAACCAGAGTATCGGTTCGCACTTACTCACTCGGTAATGGTGGGTACACGCTGACCAAGTGTTGCAGGGAGAGCGATTCGCCACCGTTCAGATTGGGCGTCTCTAATCCTGGTTGACCATAGATATAGCATGGCTACTATTCGGCACAAGCTTCCTTCGTGGATCCAGGACGGGGTGTGTGTTTGCGATACGTTCGGTCAAGCTGTGAAGCAACTTGGGACCTTCTACCGAGACAAGAAGCAGTGAGGGTAGATTTGACGGATAGGTTTTTGTAGTGGAAGTAGGGAGTCCAATTATAGGGGCTCATGCTGGCCGACCTCGAAGTGGGGTTGCTGACTAATAACACGGGGTAAATTTGCTGATGTAATCCTGCCTGAGGCTGTTCCGCCAACACCGACCGACATCTTCCGCCAAATCCACCACTGCCGGGTGTGTTTTCGGTTTTACAGTATGCTTTCGCGACAAGCTGTGAGGCGTTTTCCCTATGCACTGCGAGGTTCTTCCGGTCGCAGTTCAGCTGCAACGCTGCACCGGACGCTTGCCACTCCTGCAGTGCCGCCTTCGCCCAACGACCCTTTCGCGAACGGTACCAATGCCTACTATGCAGACATGATGTATAAACATTGGATACAGGACCCGAAGTCAGTTCATGTCTCCTGGGACGCCTACTTCTCTGCAATGGAACGGGGAGTGCCGAGTGCCAAGGCATTCCAACCGCCTCCTCGCCTGATCGTTCAACCCGCAGATGGCGCACCAGCCCTACATGCTGCAGGCGGCGCGGAACTTGATGACCACTTAAAGGTCCGCGGCTTGTCCGTCGCGCTTGTTCGATTTACGTATGCTCTTTCTAGGTACAACTGCTCGTTCGCGCATACCAAGTTCGGGGGCATCACCTAGCCGAATTAGACCCGCTGGGCATCTTAGACGCTGACCTCGCTGATGTCCGGCCGCCCGAACTCGAACTCAGTCACTACGGATTCACGCAGCGGGACCTGGATAAACAAATTGCTCTTGGGCCTGGTATCCTACCCCACTTTGCAACGGAAGACCGCAAGACGATGACACTCGGGGAAATTATCAAGACTTTGAAACGCATATATTGTAAGATCGACGTCGATGGTTTTAAATATGTGCACTGACGATGATTAGGTGGTGCCGTTGGCATTCAGTACGTGCATATTCCGGATAAGGAGCAATGTGACTGGATCAGAGAACGCACGGAAATCCCTAAACCATGGAACTACACTGTGGAGGAGAAACGAATGATCCTAGACCGCCTTATTTGGTCTGAATCTTTCGAGAAATTCATTGCGAGCAAATACCCAAATGAGAAGCGTTTCGGCCTCGAAGGCTGTGAGGCACTGATTCCAGGCATGAAAGCTCTCATAGATCGATCAGTGGATCACGGCGTCAAGCACGTCACTATCGGGATGCCCCACCGTGGGCGCCTCAATGTACTGGCGAACGTCATCCGCAAGCCCATCGAAGCCATCTTGAATGAGTTCTCGGGTTCGGTTGATGACGATTCTTTGGCAGGGGATGTCAAATACCACCTCGGAGCCAATTACGTGCGACCCACCCCATCTGGAAAGAAGGTCTCACTATCGTTGGTTGCTAATCCATCCCATCTCGAGGCAGAAGATCCACTCGTGCTCGGAAAGACGTATGCTATCCAATACCTCGAAGGAGATGAGAAGACACATAATGCGGCTATGCCCGTGTTGCTTCATGGTGATGCCGCCTTTGCTGGCCAAGGTGTAGTGTACGAGACGATGGGCTTCCACAACTTGCCAAATTATGGCACAGGAGGCACCATTCATCTTATCGTCAACAACCAGATTGGTTTCACTACCGACCCTCGCTTCGCCCGTTCGACTCCATACCCGTCCGATATTGCCAAGGCCATAGACGCCCCTATTTTCCATGTCAATGGCGACAACGTCGAGGCTGTCAACTTTGTGTGCCAACTCGCAGCGGACTATCGTGCCAAATACAAGCGCGACGTTGTCATTGACATCGTCTGCTACCGCCGTTACGGGCACAACGAAACTGACCAACCGAGCTTCACTCAGCCTCGCATGTACAAAGCGATCGAGAAACAGCCTACACCGTTGACCCAATACTCCAAGTTCTTGGTTTCAAGAGGCACTTTTACAGAGAAGGACATCGAGGAACACAAGAAATGGGTGTGGGGAATGCTAGAGAAGGCCGCAGGTGGAGCAAAGGACTATGTCCCTTCGAGTAAGGAATGGCTGTCGGCATCGTGGCAAGGTTTCCCGTCACCTAGACAATTGGCAGGAGGAGACACTCCCTACTCGCTCTACTGGCTCCGATGAGAAGACGCTAAAACGCATTGGGAGGGCTGTGTCACACTACCCTGCCGGGTTTACCCCTCATCGCAACCTTGCCCGTATCCTCACTACGCGGGGAAAGACTGTCGAAGATGGCCGTAACATCGACTGGTCAACTGCAGAGGCTCTTGCGTTCGGTGCTCTTGCTCTGGAAAAGGTTCACGTTCGCCTTTCGGGACAAGATGTAGAGCGTGGAACCTTTTCGCAGCGTCACGCCGTCATTCATGACCAGATCAACGAACAAAAATATGTCCCGCTGAATAACCTGGATTCAAATCAAGCGCGCTTTGTAGTTTGCAACTCCTCGCTCTCTGAGTACGGCACGCTGGGCTTTGAACTCGGTTACTCCCTTGTGTCACCTGACTTCCTTACCATCTGGGAAGCTCAATTCGGAGACTTTGCCAACAATGCTCAGTGTATCATCGATCAATTCATTGCGTCAGGAGAACGCAAGTGGTTACAGCGCACGGGGTTGGTCGTGAATCTTCCTCATGGTTATGACGGTCAAGGTCCGGAGCATTCAAGTGGAAGAATTGAGCGCTTCTTACAGCTTTGCGGTGACCACCCACATATCTTCCCTTCACCCGAAAAGATTGAACGACAGCACCAGGACTGCAACATGCAGGTCGTATACCCGACGTAAGTTTGCATGTAGTTCCTTTCTATAGGTCACCGCTAACGCGCTGTCTCAAGTACGCCCGCTAATTATGTGAGTAAGCCGCGCTACTTGCTGAATCTTGCTCACGTATCGCCCAGTTCCACGTCCTCCGTCGACAAGTGCATCGCGATTTCAGAAAACCAGTCGGTTTTTTTTCTTGTTTACTCTACGCTTTTACTAATGCGGGCTCATGCAGCTCATTTTATTCTTCTCCAAAGCATTGTTGCGGCATCCTAATGCTCGCTCTGACTTATCAGAAATGATCGGCAATACCCATTTCCAGCGGTACTTGCCTGAACCTCATCCGGATCATTTGATGCCACCGGAACAAATCCGTCGCCACATCTTGTGCACAGGTGCGTAATCGTGCATGTTTATATACTGTTGATCCTTACATCGTGCAGGCCAGGTGTACCACACCCTTGTTCAGGAGCGCGAGCAGAAGGATATTAAAGACATTGCGATCAGCCGTGTGGAACAGCTATCACCTTTTCCATATGATCTTGTCTGTCTCTTTTTGTTGTTCAAATTGGAACTTGGCTAACGTGCTTTTAGATCACTCCTCATCTCGATATGTACCCCAATGCGGACCTCTTGTGGTGTCAGGTGAGGCAGGAAGTCGTTGCTCATCTTTAGCAAGCTTATTCGATTTGTAGGAGGAGCCTCTGAACAATGGAGCGTGGACATATGTAGGTCCTCGCATATTGACTGCTGCCAATGGAACCCAGTATCACCGGGGCAAGTACCCGCTCTATGCTGGGCGGGAGCCCACAAGCTCTGTTGCAACGGGTAGCAAGGTAGGGGATGGCGATATCTGACGAGCCACGTAGAATTGATCGCTTTCTAGATTCAGCATAAGAAGGAAATTGAAGCCTTCCTAGATTCTGCATTTGCATGAGGTCGCCGGTTTTGTGGTCGTCAGCGAGGTTGACTGCGTATTTCCACATACACTATCCACTTCAGCCCGCCTCGTCTCTTGGGACCTTATCATGGTACAGGGCGTCTGTAGTATTCTTGTTTCCGAGTCAGTGATGGAGATTGGACAGAAACCAAAGAGAAAAAGTTGGCCGATTCATATTAGCCCTAAGCCAGTACCAAGCTAACCTACCAAGCCATCGTCCTCAATATCCCCATCACCATTGTCTGTTGCCCTCGTTGCTCACATCGGCACAACCCAAGGCCCCACTCAGCGGGTCTCCTACACCGTTCTCGAAACTTGCAATCGGGACCTGTGTACGAGAGAAGTCTGAAATTGAAGTTGTTCTTAGTGATAGTGGTGATACTGCATTGTACTGATTGAGATGCCGTGCGAAAGCATTGCGAGAACACAAGTGACAGGTGAGAATGAAGTCTGCACAACCCTCCATGTGCCTCTGCCTATCAAGTAATACTGTGTCCACAAGTGAGCAAGCTTATCAGATAGGACATGCCAAGGACAGACATACCCAAGATTCCACTATTGTGCAGAGGACAGGGCTATGGTATGAAGAGCAAAGACAAGAGCACTTGCCTTTAAACTTGAGTTTGACAGTAGGTTTGAAATTACTTGAGGGGCTCTTGTTCTTGTTAGAATGGTAGAATGAATGTAGAATTTGATGGGGACTATGGGAGAATATCCCTGAGTTTATATACATGTTTCCATATGCATGGACCAGTAATGTATAAGGAAACTGTTACTATGTATAGTATAGAATAGCACAGAATGCTATGGAATATGACACAATTAGTGATGTCATTCTGACATCACTGTGGAGCTGTCTGACTGAGCATGTCATGTGATGTAACACATGTGTATCAAAATATGTAAGTCTAGATGAATCTAGATGTTGGACATATTACCATATTTCCAACACTCCCCCTTGCTCTAGAATGGGAGATTAACAAGTCCCATTGATGAGCAATTAGTTTCAAATTTTTGCCACATCAAGGATTTTGTAAGACCATTGGCTTTTTGTTTGTCAGTTTGAATGTATTCAATACCGAACAAACTGTCTTGTACACATTCATGTACATAGTGCCATTGGACATCAATGTGCTTTGAGCAGTTGTCTGAGACTGGATTCTCAGCTATGAAGCAAGCACCCATATTGTCACAGTATAATATGGTCTTTTTGGTTTTAAGTTCAAGTTCTTCAAATAGCATGTGGAGCCATTTGATTTGATGTGCAGCATCACAGAGAGCCATGTACTCAGCTTCTGTAGAGGAGAGGGTGACAGTCTTCTGTTTATGTGATCACCAAGAAATGAGGGATGTTCCAAGGAACATAGCATAACCAGTTGTTGAATGACAAGTGTCTTTATTTGATGCCCAATCAGAATCAGCAAAACCAAATATCTGCAATTCAAGTCCAGAATAGTAAAGCACAAGTTTAGGAGTGGATGCAACATAGCAAACTATGTGTAGTGCTTTATTTCAGTGATCCTCAGTGGGATTAGCCATATATTGAGACATGTGGATTACCACAAAGGCTATATCTGGATGGGTACCAAGGGCCATATAGAGTAGAGACCCAATAATAGATTGGTACTGGGAGTGGAGTTGTGAGGTTGCTTGATAATTGGAAGGGGCTTTTTCTGGTTGATATCCCAAAGGTAATGGAGTGTGAACATTTCGAGCAGTCTCCATATTAAATCTTTTGATGACCTTTTTGATGTAGGGAATTTGATTGAGATAGAGTTCTTTCTTTGATTGATCTCGATGGATTTGTAATCTGAGATATTCTTTTACTTCCCCAAGGTCTCAGGATTCCAATTTCTTCATAGATTCTTCTTTCTTGGCTTTTAGAAGATGTTTGTCTGAACCTAAAAATAATCCATCATCAACATAGACAAGGAAAATGACAATGCCAGCTTTTGAAGAATAGATGTAGATGCCAGTGTCCACTTTTGAGTGTATGTAGCCCATGTGAAGTAATGATGCATGTAAGGCTTTATTCCATGCAAGTGCTGCTTGCTTGAGTCCATAAAGGGCTCTAAGCAGCTGATATACCTTGTGCTCTTGACCCTTAACTTGAAAACCTTCTGGTTGCTCCATATATATTTCTTCATCAAGGTTTCCATATAGGAAAGTGGTTTTAACATCCAGGGCTTCCATTTCCCAATTTCTTTGGGCAGTGAATGTGAGTAGGATTTGCACAGTTTTGAAGCGAGCCACTGGAGAGAAGGTATCTTTGAAGTCAGTTCTGAATTCTTGTGTAAAGCCTTTAGCCACAAGATGAGCTTTGTAATGACCATTGCTTTTAATAGTGAAAACCCATTGACACTTTATGGGTTTCCAATCTCTGGGAGGATCCACCAAAGTCCATACTTGTCTTTCTTCAATAGACTTTAATTTGTCCTTCATTGCATCAAACCACCTTTTCTGAAGGTCTGGAGTTAACTTTAGAACATCTTTGTAATGCTCTGGAGATTCTTTGATCCATGCAGCAAGTGCAAATTCAAATGGATGCATCTCAGCTTCTTGGTCTGGCATTCCTTTCAGAGATTCCGGAAGTGGAGTTAGAGGAGATAAGGGAGAAGAAGGAGTAGTTCCTTGTGGATGTTCAGTCCACTGATGAGGAACCTGAGGAGGTACCAATGTAGGTGGTAAGACTGGCAAAGGTGGCCTATGCTCCTCATCATATTGTCTCCTAGCTTCTTCTCTCTCTCTAATATTATGTTCTGCATTTTGGATCCATTGTTGGGCTTGATCTCAGTTCTGTTAAATATCCCTTTCAATTTGTACCAGAGGTCTATCTCCATAAATGTTTCCAGGACAGGAAACAGGGATGAACTGGCATTTAGGACAAGGTTCTCAGTCTTTGGTCTGTGATGGCTGTGCTCTCCAAACATTTTGGGAGTCACCAGGAACAGAATAAGGAGTATGTAGGTGCTGAATGACTCAAGGGTCAACTGATGGTGCAGCAGCAGGTGCTCTTCTGATTGGTTGATTAGAAGCTCTAGGCTGGTCTGCAGCTTTACCCTGCTGTGGGTTAGGTGGAGTAATTGGATGAGGTGGTTGCCAGTGATGAGGTGGCAGTTGGATCTGATCAGGATCTGGTAATGAGTGTAGGCTTTCAGAGTTGGATGATGATTCAGATAATTGGTCATCTTTGGAATTGGGGTCAAAGGTTTCAGTCTTTTTATCTGAGCAGAAAGGAAAAAAGTCTTCTATTAATTTTGCTGTATGAGATAAAATGATCTTCTGACCATGTAAAAAGTGGTATCCTTTTGTGTTAGGCTTGTAGCCTAGGAAAACCATCTCGATAGCATGAGGTTCCAATTTATCTTTTCATTGTTCTATTGGAACCCATACAAAGGCTTTGCAGCCAAAGGTGCAGAAATAAGATATATCAGGAACTTTTCCTAAGAATAGTTCTGCAGGAGTCTTGAAGAGAATCTGCTTGAGTGGAGTTCATTGTACATGTGTAAGGCACAATCAAAAGTGAAATTCCAGAAGCATTTCAGAATGCATGCATGATGTTGAAGAGAACTGGCTTTCTCCAAAATGGTGCAGTTGAACCACTCAGCATGACCATTTTGCTGGGGTTGATCAGCAATAGACAATTGATGGGTAATTCTGCATGTAGATAGGAGCACCTTGAAAGTGGAACCCATAAATTCTCCCCCTCAATCCAAATGGTGTAGGAATAGGTAATAGAAGATACCTAGAAATAGTAATTATCAGTAAATGGGCGAGTATAGTGCTCGACCCAAAAGGGAGGTCTTGTGTGGAGAAAGAAAGGTGTAGTAAAAAGGTAAAAATGCGAACTAAAATGAAGACTTAGCTCTGGGATGTCTTCCTACTGATCTAAATGTCTTGCCAGTCCTCCTGGCCCTTTGGGTACTCCCCAAAGTAATAATTCTATCCTCAAAAACTTACCAAAATGTGAGACAAAATCACCCTACTGCTGAGGGCCTGTGACATGGATTTCTTTCTTTTTTTTTTTTGGTAAACTGAACTCATGTGAACACAGCACACATGCTGAGTCAGCAATGCAGCTGCTCACCACCAAGTCCAGTGGTACAAACATGAAAACAAAACACAAGAAATAAAACAAGTCCCTCAACCCCTAACTTCCTGTCCAAGACAACTTCTTGTAGGGAATTTGAACTTGTTCCCTGCAATGGAGCACAAGAAGATGATGGCCTGTTTGATTTTGGGCTGAAACCATCCAATTGGAAAAAGCAGTATAGGTATTGGATTTATTGTGAAGGTAGAGGCAAAAGCCAAATGATGAATAATCATCAAGAAGAGTAAGGATATATTTAGAGCAGAAATAAGATTCCACTGGTAGTTCCAGTAGGTCAGCATGAACCAATTCAAGAGGTTTGGTTGTGCATTTCCAAGAAGGTTTGAAAGCTTCAGAAGATAATTTTCCCTGAGCACACCCTTTACAGGAAGAAGTTTCCCCCTGTATTTGCATTTCAGGAAGATCCAATTGGCAAAGGTGCCTAAGAATAGCTTGTGCAGGATAGCACAGCTGATTATGCCAGAGTAATTCCAGTGAAGTCCTAACCAGAGGGCAAAGGACCATATATGCATTGGTAGGTGGAAGTGGTATGCCCACAAACCAATGTAGTGGTGAAGTTGGAGAGGCTAATTTGGCCTCTAAGACAATCCAGCCATCTGGTGCTTGGATTACCTCATTTGTAAGTGTTGCAGTGCTCCAATACCTGTTTTTCAGGAGCACATTTCTTGAGCATAGTCTCTTTGAAAACAAAGGACTATAGACAACATTATGGAGTGGTAAATTCTGCCCATTTTCAAGGTGAATAACCACTGTTCCTTCACCTAAGAGTTGTACTCAACTTAACCCAGCAGTAGATGCAAGGGAAGGAGTTTTAAACTCTCGAAAAGTGAGGAAATCAGTTTTAAATGGAGTCACATGATGTGAAGCTCCAGAATCTAGCATCCATATTGACTCACCCTTTGGTAAGTTCTTGAAAGATGCATGCACACCCAAGGGGTAGCAGTCAAAAGCATCATAAGCATTCCTATAAAATTCAC